GTTTCATTCAGCATGATGTTCTCCAATTCCATCCAGGTTGCTGCAAATGATGGAATTCCTTCTTTTTTATGGCAGCATAGTATTCCATTGTGTAGATGTACCATGGTTTTTGGATCCAATCATCTGCTGATGGGCACCTAGGCTTTTTAAATCTACAAAGTTGTGACTTTTCCAGTTGCCTTCCTGTTCTGGTTACTGACTTCATCCCAGTGCCCTCTGTATGATGTCTGTATGTTTAAGCCCATTGAGACTTCCTCTGTGGCTTGGCAGAAGGTCTACCCTGGAGAATGTCCCCTGTGTCGTGAGAACGTGCTATGTTGTTGGTTAGATCTGGCTGACTTATTGTGCTGTTCAAGTCCTCTGTTTCCTTATCTTCTCTCTGATCGTTGTCACCATCATTGAAAGTGGGATATTAAAGTCTCCAACAACTATTATTGTGAAACTATGTATTGATATTTCTCTTTCAAGTCTATCAATCTTTGCTTCATGTATTTTGATGGTCTGCCATTGGGTATGTAAATGTTTATAACTGTTACATCTTGTATTAAACCTTGTATTGACCTATGTCTTTTATGTTTTGTAACTTTTTTGATGTAATGTCTGTTTTGTCTGATACCGTGTTTCCCTGAAAATAAGACATCCTCCGAAAATAAGACCTACTTACAGGTTTCCTTCTGAGTGAAATATAAGGCATTCCCCCGGAAATAAGGGGCCCCCCCAGGCTAAACATGAGAGATTTGGTCCACTGATTCTGAAAGAAATGGAGTCACAAGAAATTCACCAGGAAATTCAGGAATTGGATTGTTATGATGATGTCCCAGAAGATGATGACATGATTGTCATTGAATAAATGAGTAAATTCTTGATACTGTAGGATTCACAGTTTGTCTGGTTTGTGTTGACAACTACTGTACTACCGTACCGTATACAGGTAATAAATTTCCTTTATTTTCATTTAACAATAAATGTGTACCGTATTCTTTATGGAAAAATAAGACATCCCCTGAAAATAAGACTTAGCGCATCTTTGGGAGCAAAAATTAATATAAGACACTGTCTTATTTTCGGGGAAGCAGGGTATTAATATAGCCACTCACGCTCTTCTTTTTGGTTACTGTTTGCAAGCAATGTCTTGTCTCATCCTTCTGCTTTTAACTCTGTGGTTTTGGATGTAAAGGGATCTCTGTAAACAGTATATAGTTGGTCATGTTTTGTTTTTCACTATATTTTTTTGTTTTCAGAGAGGGAGAGAGAGAGAGAGAGAAGCATCAAGAAGGGAGAGGATCGTTGATGAGCTGCCTCCTGCACCCCTCCTACTGGGGATTGAGGTGGTAACCCAGGTGTGGGAACCTGACCAAGAATCAAACTGTGACCTTCTGGTTCATCAGTTGAGGCTCAACCACTGAGCCACACCCACCAGATTGGTCACTTTTTGTGTGTGTGTTTTTTTAATATATTTTATTGATTTTTTACAGAGAGGCAGGGAGAGGGATAGAGAGCCAGAAACATCGATGAGAGAGAAACATCGACCAGCTGCCTCCTGCTCACCCCCCACAGGGGATGTGCCCACAACCAATGTACATGCCCTTAACCAGAATCGAACCCAGGACTCCTCAGTCCGCAGGCCAATGCTCTATCCACTGAGCCAAACCGATTTCGGCTGGTCACGTGTTTGTTTGTTTTTTAATCCATTCTGCCAGCGTCTGCCAATTGATTGAAGAATCTAACCTGTTGACATGTAAAGTAATTATAAATGAGATGGCCTTATTTATGCCACTGTGTGTTTTGTCTTCTTTGTACCTCTAGCCTTTGTCCCTCACTTCCCACATTACTGTCCTGGTCAGCTGATGTTTTACATGAAATGTTGTAATTCCCTTCTCATTTCCTTTTTTACATATTTCACAGCTGTTTTCTTGGTGGTTACATTTAACATACTCAAGGTCTCACCCTCTGATTTGAATTTATATGAGCTCTGCTCTGTCGTGTCTCTTGTCGGTGCTGGGATTTCCGTTGGATTGCATTGGATCTGTACATCGCCTGGGAAGACGTGACCTCTTATAATGTTAGTCTCCTTGTGGGAACCCCTTTCGCATCCTGCGTGGTTCAGGGTTCCGGTTCAGGGTGCTGGTTCTGGAGGAGGCCACACACAAATGAAAAGAGACTAGAAAAATATTTAATTTGGCAGTATTGGGGGCTACACTCTGCTCTGGCCTTGCTATCCCTTTTATTGAGGCTATGGGATACACCCATTACCCTTAGGTTTGGGATATACCCATAGCACTTAGGCATGTAATAAGCGGATTATCATATCCTAAGGATTTACATGATTACAAGATGGGGAAGTGGCCTCAGTTACCATTGTCTCAGTGAGATAGGGAGCGGGTGGCTCTGACCTTTCAGCGCTTCCAGGTTGATCAGCCTTTTACATCTTCCTGTCAGTGAGACTATGCTCGGTTTCCGCATCTCCTGTCTGTGAAGATGGCTTTTCTCTGCATTCTCTCCCGGCTTCTCTGATTTCTCAGGGGTGTGGTATGCAGTGAGCACGTTCTGCACTACTTGATAAATTTATCGGGAACTAGTTTGCTTTGTTGATGATACTCTAAATCAGGCGTCCTCAAACTTTTTAAAGTGGGGGCCAGATCACGGTCCCTCAGAGAGCTGGAGGGCCGGACTATATGAACTACTAATTCCTACTGTAACACCTCGGCTTCGCTCACTGCCCAAAAAACCTGGCGGGCCGAATCAGACTCCTCTGCGGGCCGCATGTGGCCCGAGGGCCGTAGTTTGAAGACGCCTGCGTCTAAATGGTATTGTCTTTCTAAATTTCAGTTTTCTGTGTGTGGAAATAAATTGGTGTTTGCTATTAACTCTGTATCCCGCAACCTTGCTAAAATCAGTAGCTTTTTTGTAGACTATGGTTTTCTGTATAGATGATGTCTGCAAATACAGTTCTGCTTCCCTTTCCAATCTGTATGTTTTATTTATTTCTTGTGCCTTACTGCGGGAATTTTGTTTTCATATTGTATAGCAAATATTTCAGCAATTTTAACAACCCCTCCCCACAAGCTCGATCATCAGATTACAGAGGGCCTTTTAACTGCGGATTTATGATTGTAGGTTGAATTTATATTTAGTTTTCATTGAAAATGATTGAGATGAAACTTTTCATACTTCAAACATGATGCATCTTGCCAAAACTGGTTTGGCTCAGTGGATAGAGCGTCGGCCTGGGGACTGAAAGGTCCCGGGTTGGATTCCGGTCAAGGGCATGTACCTTGGTTGTTGGGCACATCCCCAGTAGGAGGTGTGCAAGAGGCAGCTGATTGATGATTCTCTCTCATCGATGTTTCTTTTCTTTTTTTTCTTTTTTTAAATATGTTTTTATTGATTTTTTTACAGAGAGGAAGGGAGAGGGATAGAGAGACAGGAACATCGACCAGCTGCCTCCTGCACAACCCCCACCAGGGATGTACCCACAGCCAATGCACATGCCCTTGACCCGAATCGAACCCGGGACCCCTCAGTCCTCAGACCGATTCGCTATCCACTGAGCCAAACCGGTTTCGGCAACTCTCATTAATGTTTCTAATGCTCTATCCCTCTCTCTTCCTCTCTGCAAAAAAACGATAAAAATATTTTTTTAAATGATGCATCTTATAATTATTTACAGAATTTTAGAAGTATATAATTTAGGTATCATTTTTACTGATAGCACATGTTTTGAAATGATATAGTTATTTTTATGATAATGAAAGTTTTCATTTTCATTTAGGAAATATTGAACCAGTGACCTTAGCTATTCAGTTATGATGAAAGGCCTAATCTAACCTTTTATTGAATGTGATATTTATTAAACATGAAACTTCTCATTTCTAGAACTTAATCAATAGGACATTAAGCCATTTATTACTGCAATTAAAGAAAGCCTGCAGACTAGATATTCTATTTCCTTGTCACCCAGTTTAACTTTATCTTTAATTGAATTTATTGGGGTGACATTAGTTAATAAAATTATAGTATAGGATTCAGGTGTAAAATTCTATAATATATCGTCTCTGTGTTGTGTTGTGTTGTGTGTTCACACCCCCCCACCCACCCCCAAGTCTCCTTCCATCACTTAGCCCTCCTATCTAGTTTAGCTTTAACAATCAGGACATAGCACTGAAGGGTCCCGGGTTCAGTTCTCGTCAAGGGCATGGTCCTGGGCTGCAGGTTCATCCCCAGCCTCTGTCAGGGCTTGTGCGGGAGGCAGCTAGTCAGTATGTCTCTTTCTCGTCAATGTTTCTCTTTCCCTTCCCCCCTCCCCCCTTCCCTCAGTCTCTGGCTCCCCCTTCCCCTCCTTCCTGGGTGGGTAAAACACCTGTGCTCTCAGTATGGCCCGTTTCCCCCTCCGGTTGGCTGCTTAGGAGAACTGAGAGCTGCCTTGTTAGGGAGCCCTTGAGTCGGGGGGCTTTTGTTTAGTTACAGGAGAGAGGAATTTTACCTGCTTCACCTGGTGCCTTTCAGAGTTAGGGACTGAGGGGTTGACTTAGATGTGTGAGTTGGTTTTACACTTTTACTCGTTTGTCTTTGACCTTCACGGGTGAAATTCATTGCGGTTTTTGACAGAACACTGACGGAGTGTGTGGCATTTCTGGCTCGTGGCACGTAGTTTCCTTCCTTCCGACCAGATGCCCTGTGGGGCACCTTGGGTGCATTGTCCCGATAGCTGGGCAAAGAGTAAACGGCACCCACCACGTGTTTAGTTTCAGCCCAGACACCCAGTGCCGGGAGGAGACGAGCCCCATGCCTCCTCAGGCGGCGCTTCCAGCGGCAGCGGTGCTGTTAGTGTGTATAATCGATCACTTCGTTAGCGGGAGGAAGGCTTATGGGGAACAAAGCATCTCTCACTGCGTCCTGTGCCGCGGGCAGGCGGGTGGCGAGGGGCTGCAGGTGCCCGTTGGGGGCCGTGGGTGAGCTGGGTGGGAGTGCTGTGGTGCTCTAACCGGCCCCTCTCCTAGGCCGCCTCGGAAGAGCTGAAGGCTGCCTACCGCAGGCTGTGCATGCTGTACCACCCCGACAAGCACCGAGACCCCGAGCTCAAGTGCCAGGCGGAGCGGCTGTTCAACCTTGTGCACCAGGCGTATGAAGGTCAGTGCGGGAGCAGGCGGTCGATTTTAAGAGACTTGATTTGTAGCGGACAGCAGAGAGAGTCCTGGAGGTGTGGAGAAGGGGTGTTAGCCTGGGCTTCCTACTGACAGGCTCTTTGGAAGAGAAGGATTCTCTTTGGAAATCAATGTGTGTCAGGCCGGCAGGAGACGGGCGGGGGAGGCCGCCAGGTGGGAGGGAGGTGCAGGGAAACTCAATTTTCACACCGTCCGCTGGCTAGTCCTCCGAAAGGGAGCTCAGAGATGAAAGGCCGATCGTTAAGACAAGCTCTCTGCTGTCTTTTTGAGCGACGTACGTACGAGAGCATTTTTTCATCTGAAAGTGGATTTATTGAGTCCGTAGCATTCAGTTAAGGAGAGGTTCTAACAGAAGGAAAAAAACGCTATTAAGAAGGCTAACAGGCAATAGAACTAAGTAATACAGACTTTTAGACTTACACCTTATGGATTTCAGAAAGAACGTTTGTGACATGCTTGTTTATAAAATATTGAAGTCAATAGCTACAGTTTCTGTTTGCGATGATGAAATGGTGATGTTTGCACAACAAAGTGAATGTACTTCATGCCCCTGGCCTGTGCACTTAAAAATTATTAAAAGGATCAATTTTATGTTACGTATATTTTACCAAAATTTTAAAGATACAGATTTGTAAGATGTTAAATCACTTTTAGGATGTATATCAAGTAGAATAAGTTGTTTATTCCAGAGCCATTTGGTGATTTGCTCTTTAATTAGACTAAAAATTAGGTATGTTCCCTTACAAAATAAAGGCTTCTTATTATAGTTTTAACAAAAAGTTGGGTTTTAATGACTGAGCCCGGGGCCAGGGCTGGTGATACATGTGCATCGGCATCGTGTCTTTACCGGCTTCGCTCTAACCAGGCCGCTCTGTGGGGCCTGGCCTTAGGCCTGGGCCTTCTGTGGCAGCGGTCGCCAGCCGCTGGTGTCCGTGAGCTCCGAAAGGCTGGCGCCCGCTGTCCTGCAGGATGCTGTCCGCGTGGCTGCGCTCGTTTCCCTGTTGTCTGTCACCCACATAACCGGGCGTGGTCTGGCGGTTTGGGGAGAGTCAGGAAGGCCTCCCGGTGGGGGTGAAATGCTGCCACAGCCCTGCCCACACCCAGCCCGGAGGGGGCCACGCCGAACACTGGCCGGAGAGCCCTCGTTAGGTCCCGGAGTCACTCCAGGGCTGCGCCGTCTCCCAGAGCCAGCACTTCCTCTGCCCCCGGACTTGAACCTGGACAGGATCGTGTCCATCGTTTTTAAATGAGGCCTAAAACACATGGGCGCCTCCAGGGAGCAAAGATGCAGAGTCTCCACAGGAGCTGGCAGAGCAGAGCAGGAGCTGATGGCTGAGCTTCCCGGGCTCCCATCCGGGGGAAGCTCCTTCCAGGAGCTCTCGGCCTCCCTGGAGAGCCTCTCCCGGGCAGCGGCGGATGTGGCCAGCGTCAGTGGCACGTGTGGCGCACTAAATGGAGGAGAGGGGGAGGAAGGACAGAAGGACAAGTCAGACTTGTCCGGGGTCAGAGCCTTGCCCTGACCTTAGCCCGCCGCCTCAGAAAGGGCAGTCAGCTTTCAGGCTGCACACACAGGCCTAGCGGTTCCTTAAGCACAGCCGTCCTCGGGACGCAGGGGCACCTCTCAGTTCGCGGTGGCTCACTCGTGGCCGCCTTGAAACACGGCCTGGTTAGGAAGAAAAGAGAGAAAATAGGTAAGCAAACACAGTCAGGGCTGGATCTGAGGGCAATGAGGAGAAGGACACAAAGGGAAGGATAGCGTCTGTCTAGGAAAAGCGGGGGCGGTGGGAGCTGCCGGGGGGGTGCTGTCAGGACCGGAAGGCGAGTTCTGTGCTTTGTAACACGTCCGGCTTCTGTTCGCAGTGCTTAGCGACCCGCAGACCCGGGCCATCTATGACATCTATGGCAAGAGAGGACTGGAGATGGAAGGCTGGGAGGTAAGAGCCAGCCTGTCTGCGCCCCAGAAAGGCCTCTGACCCTGCAAACTGCCACCCCGCCCCACCCTGCGAGGGAGGACTCGGCAGCCATTCCCCAGGCACCTGTTCTGTGTCTCCCACTGACGCATGGAATGTGCTGGCTGCCTTTCCCCCCTCTCGTCCATCTGATGGCTCACTCCTGTCTGCTCTGCTCTCTCCGTGTATCTCACAGGTCGTACGCAGCATCTGGGCCCTTAGCACATGGTGCGCTTCCTCTCACCATGTGACCCTGAGGTCCCGGGCCTTCCCCTGCCCCTGACCTCAGCCAGACCGCCTCCTGTCAGGGAGCGCTGGTTTTCTCTCAGCCTCCTCAGCGTGTGCATCCCTGGGGGAGCGTGCTAACGTGGTCTGCTCTTCATTGCCTAAGCGCTGTTATACTAACGTTCCCTGATGTCACAGCCTGAGGTTCGCGTCATCCTGGAGGGGGAGCGTCCCATAGCTCATAAACACCCACCCCTGGGCGTGAGGTCCCTCCATCTGAGAAGCATGGGCACCTCTGGGGACGGCCGCACACGGGAGCGGCGGCAGTGCCACATGGACACTTCGCCTTCGTCTGGATGTTTTGTTTTGTTTTTGTTCTTATTTTTAATATATTTTATTGATTTTTTACAGAGAGAAAGAAAGAAGGATAGAGAGTTAGAAACATCGATGAGAGAGAAACATCGATCAGCTGCCTCCCGCACACCCCCTACTAGCAATGTGCCCGCAACCAAGGTACAGCCTTGACTGGAATCGAACCTGGGACCTTTCAGTCCACAGGCCGCTGAGCCAAACCGGTTTTGGCTCGTCTGGATGTTTAACATTGTTACCTGGAACTCATTAGGGAATTTAACTGAGACGTGAGGTGGTGTTTTCTTTATAAGATTCCTGCAGCCTCAGAGACAAGTTACTAAAAGGATGGACCGTGACCTTGGTCATTATGAGGGCGCAGAGCTGCGAGGCTGTGCAGGCGAACCTGGCCATCTCTGTAAAACACTCACCCCGTTTCGTTGACGTCGCTCGGAGCCCTGGCCAAGGGGTGCACAGCGGTTAGGGTGTGAGCTCCGCTGTGTCCTTGCCTCCCTAACGCTCTCCCCTCGGTCCGGTCCGCCCTAGGTTGTGGAGAGGAGGAGGACTCCGGCCGAGATCAGAGAAGAGTTTGAGCGGCTGCAGAGAGAGCGGGAGGAGAGGAGGCTGCAGCAGCGAACCAACCCCAAGGTGAGCGCCCCCCCCAGGCCAGCGTCGTCAGAGCAGCCTTCGGGGAGGGCAGGAGACTCCCGGCCGACGTCTGCTGGTCGTCTCGAGGCCGTGGCCGTGGGAATCGGGAGGTCAGAGTCGGGAACGGAGGCGGAAGCACCTGGCAGCAGGTTCCTGTGCCGGTCAGGATGGCAGAGCGGGCGACGCGGGGGGCTGGGCCGTCCCGGTGCATCGGACAGGCCGGTGCTCCTCACCCAGGAAGCGGGGCCGGCGCCCGTCCCAGGCCGCTCTTCGGTGACGAGGCGCCCTCTGATGGAGCAGGTCCTGGCGGATTTGTGTCTGTGGTCAGTGACTCCTGAATCGGGTTCCGTTTCAGGCCGGCACATGCAGGCTTTTCCGTAGGTTTGTGGGGAAGCAGCTTGTTCTGAGTGCGTGCCCCAGCCTGTGGCTAGTGGCTGGGTGCACGTGGCCCGGTGACCCTGTTCCTGGCTTCACCGGGGGACCCCGCAGCCGGGCTCCATCTGGGGGGGGGGCCTGGTGGGCAGCCTGGACATCTGAAGGAGGACAGGAGCCGCCTTACAGCTGGGGAGCAGGAGGATGGGAACTTTCTAGAAGGCGGAGGCCCCGGCGTCTAGACTGGAGGGTTAGAAACCTGTCTATTTGAATCCCGCCTTTCCGAGTGCAGAGCACATGCCAGCGCCTCCCTCCCACCCCCACCCTCATGCCAGCGCCCCTCCCCCTCCCTCCCCAGCTGTGGCCGCTGCAGCGCGCCGTTGGCTCTGGTCCCGTGGAGTCGCTGCTGCACCCGCTCAGGGCGGGGGAGGTCGGCAGGAGGCGGAGAACTCCGGGTGCCCTGAGCTATGGCTCCCGCCTCGGTCTCCCCGGTCTCCCCCTGGTGCTGGGCGGTCTGGGTGGAAGGTCAGCATGGGCAGATGGAGGGGAGGGAGGGAGCCTGGCGGGCTGTGGCTCTGGAGTCTGCTGTTCTGGCAGCGTTTGGAGCGGTTCAGGAGAGAGACCGTCCCCGTAGCCTGGCCTGGCCTGGCCTGTGATGAAACCGGCCATCTGGATGTGCACAGGGCGGCCGCTGGGAGCTGTGGAAACGGGCCTCCGGCCGGTTCTGCAGAATGAGGTGCATCAAACATTGCACACGCAGGCCGGCTGCCGGAGCCCCAGCACTTGTCCTGCCTGCGCTGCTTCCAGTACCCAGGATGGCTGCGGCCAGCAGTGCTGAGCGGGGCCAGACGCAGGCTCCAGTGCTGTGAGGAGGGTTTCAGCCTGGACCTTTGGCCCATTTCTGAGTGTTTTGCTTTTCAAGACGAGTGGAAAGGTTAAAACATTCTTATCCTCAGAAGAAAGGGGTGCTGTCTTGTAAGAAGACCGTGGGGAGGAGGACCCCTCCCGCCCCGGGAGGACCGCAGCTCGTGGGGGTGGGCACATGAGACAGCATTCGCGAGCTGCCATCTGAAACCAGATGCTGTTTCTCTCTGTTGTCATCAACAAGAGGCCGCTGGCAGGGGTTCTTGGTGGGATGTGTGTGCCAGGAACGGGGAAATCATAGGTCGGAAGTTCGGATCTGAAAGTGATGTGGGACCAGGCAGAGCATCTGACTGTGTGTGCTTTCCTCACTCACAAAGGAGGGTATGTCCTGGCTAGCACACCAGGCTGTTCAGTGGTTGAGAAAAGAGGAAGTAGATACTGAATGATTAGAGCGAGGCCAGCTACCAATAATGCAGAGGTGCTAGGCCGGGCGAGGCTAGGGGCTGGGTTTTGTTTTGGTGGTCCGTGCAGCACTGCCGGGGAAGCCCCTGGCAGCTGGTCAGGCGGCCCCTGGCCTGGGGTGTGGCTGTGGCTGTGGCTGGGGTCGTGGGTAGCACTCTGGGACTGGAACGAGGGGAACCCCCGCTCCAGCGTGGAGCGCACACACCTATGCGGGAGGCAGTGAGGCAGAGCTTCTGGATGGGGGTCAGATCTGCCTCCAGCCTTCCTCCATTTCTCCATGTGAAAGGGGGGAATAACTTCCTCTGTGTTTCCGGCTGGGGAGGAGTCCGGGGTCTCCTGGGCCGTCCTCACTGGTGGGGGCACCCGCCACCTCCCTCGGTCTCAGGTCTGTCTGTGGGCGCACTCCGTCCCTCCCTGCCTGTAGGAGACTCAGCATGCAGTGCTGCTCAGGGCCGTGCTCATCCGTCTTGGTTATTTCAGTTCCTTTCCGGCAGCCCCCACAGTCTGGCCTCCGGGGACAGCCGCCTCGGTGAGGTCTGTGAAGACAGACCTGAGGAGCCCTGCAGGGCGGGGGCTGCCTCCCGGTGAACTGCCCGGAGCCCGGTGACGCCGAGCTTGGGGAGGCCTCTGGGGAGCTTGATGTGTGTCTGAGGGGAGAGCTGCTTTCTGGGTTGACCCTGTCATGTACAGTTTCCTGGAGATTGTCAGGGTTTCCTGGACCCCATTATCCGCTCTGGTTTCAAAAGGCTGTCTTCTCAATGGTCTTGTAACAGCTTACAAACAGTTCGGTTCTAGCAGAGACAAAATTAAATCATGCATCAAGGAAGACAGAACCATAAAGACACTTTTAAGTCCCCAACTGTTTTCATAAAGACAGATGAGCACATCGCTCGGTTATTTGGAAAGGACTTGGTGAAGATTGGTTTTGGTTGCCATGGCTAACGGTTATCGCCATCGGAATGGCCCGCGGTTATGGCTGCCGCCCGCTCTGGGGAAGCTCCCGGTGTCATACCGGCCGGCCGCGGGGTCAGCTGGACTCCTCTGCTCGCTGTGTTCCATGCGGCCATTTGCTGCAGCAGCGCTGGGCTGCGACGGAAGAAGCTGGGAAGCTGTCACACAAATGGGCAGAGCGGGGCACGTGCTGGGACGTGGGTAGGCCTCTGCCCAGAGCCAGGGCGCTGGAAAAGGTGCCAAGAGCTGCCCGCCCTCCTGTGAGCGTGGGCACTGGTGCCAGGTGTCAGCTCCAGGTCTGCTGCTCAGGCAGAGGGACGTGGGGCCACGGGAGGGTAAGGCTGGGACCCCGGGGTTCTGAGAAGCCTGTGAGGTTTGCGTTTGGGCCTCCGTGACATTGGGGAACCGGGTTCTGCTGGATCTCAGAGTGAGTCTCAGCCGGTGTCACGTTCATCTGCAGTAACAAAGGGAGCGAGCGTCACGTGCCTGGAGCGGAATTGCCTCCCCGGGTGGCATTTCCATCAGGAAACTGCTACCATTGAGACTGCATTGACAGAGATTGTCACATTATCCTTATGGCCACGCAGCAGCACACAAACACGGAAACGGTTCGGAATGGAACGCTCCTGGCGGGAGAAGAACTGACTGACTCAGTGAGGCTGGCTCGACGGCATCTCCAGCCGCTCAGGCCTCGTCCTGGGGAAGGGCTCCTCCCAGCCTGGCAGCCCAGGGCATGGGGGGTGTTCCATGTGGGCCAGCTCCCCCTGGGCCTGTCCCCCAGGCCCCGTGAGTGTGTCGTCACCTCCACTGACTTCTCTTGGGCAAAAGCAAGCCCCGGCCAGTGCAGAGCAGGGAGAGGGCCCTGCCTACGGGCCCCAGGGGACCCCGCGGCCGCTGCGGCTCCAGGGTCACTGAGAGCCTTTCCCTTCCGTGACATGACCTGCCAGCTCCATAAAAGTGGCGTCTACATTTAAATGTGACGTTTCCGACATTTAATTGACTCTTCTCTGCACATCATAGCATTAATTGAGAAAATAGTGTCTGATTTCTCAATTTCCCCATTCAGAGCTTATAAATGTCTTGGCCCACGTACTTTCCGGGGCTTTCTCTTTGCCTCCGCTCGGAGTACTTTCTCTGACAGATCTCTTATAAATCATCTGTGGCTTCTGATGCCTTATCGAATTTAGATGCCACAAAGCTGGAGGCTTTTCAGTTTTGTTTCATTCCAAGACAGAATATAAGTGTAACTAATAAAAAATGACAGCCCCTCCGAAAGTTAAACTCTTCCCTGAGGCGTTGGGATTCACAGCGCACAGCTGCGGGAGCTCTGGCCGCTGGTCTGTTTGGGTTTTCCCTCAAGAGATGAACTTCAGGGTGTTCTTAGCGATGGGCCTTATGTTCAGTGATTGCAGTTTCTTTTCTTTTTAAAATATATTTTTATTGATTTCAAAGAGAAAGGGAGAGAGGAGAGATAGAAACATCAATGATGAGAATTGGATGGAGCCCACGACTTCAGCATGTGTCCTTGACTGGAATCAAACCTGGGCCCTTCAGCCCACAGGCCGGCGCTCTGTCCACTGAGCGAACCAGCTAGGGCAGTGGTTGCAGTTCCTTACGTGTTTTTAAGCCGCGGGCTTGTGGTTGGTTTGAAAGGGGCCTCTGCGCGGCCTCAGACATGCGCACTGCAGCCGGTAGCGCCAGCCTGAGGTGGGTCCAGAAGCAGCCTCACCGAGGCTGGCCTGAATACACAGACACGCTCGTGCCCTTTGGCACTGGCAGCTGTTTTCCGGCGGTGGCCTCCAGCCGGTTCTGGCACAGGCGGGCACTATCACCTGTGGCTAATCCCCAGTGTCCTGCCCCGTGTGGGTTTCTTGCTTTGGTAAAGTCATTTTACCATGATGGTGTACCTCCCAAAGCTGGTATTTGAGTCCGACCACAAAAACAGGTCTATAGCTGAAACCGGTTTGGCTCTGTGGATAGAGCATCAGCCTGCGGACTGAAAGGTCCCGGGTTCAATTCCGGTCAAGGGCATGCACCTTCGTGGCGAGCACATCCCCCTTGATTTTCAGAGACCAAACTGGGGGTGGGGGGGGGGGGTGTGTGTGCAAGAGGCAGCTGATCGATGATTCTCTCTCATTGATGTTTCTAACTCTCTATCCTTCTCTCTTCCTCTCTAAAAAAAAAAATCAATAAAAATATATTTAAAAAAAACAAACAGGTCTACATTCAGTGACCAAGTTTATAGGAGCAGGTCACCTCGGTAGGTCCAGTGATCACAAAGGTTGGTAACTCGGCTGGTTTTCTATTTGAAGCATCTAATGGAACTCAGGCAGCACGTACGGCCGGCCCTGGGGTCTCTGCTAGAACCACACAGAAAGAGCAGCGGCACCCTAGCCAGTTTGGCTCAGTGGGTAGAACATCAGCCTATGGACCGATGGGCCCCAGGTTTGATTCTGGTCAAGGGCACATGCCTGGGTTGCAGGCTCGGTCCAACATGCAGGAGGCAGCCAATCAATGATTTCCTCTCATCATTGATGTTTCTCTCCCTCTCCCTTCCTCTCTGAAATCAATAAAAATACATATTTTTTTAAAGAATGGTGGCTTCATCTTTCATTCCTGCGTCAGACTTTAAGGGGGAAGTGAGTACAGGTCACGGAGGAACGACCACGGGCTTGCCCTCAGGTCGCTGCCCAGTTCGAGGGAGCACTCCGTGTTCTCACAGAGCAGCTGGCGGGGAGGAGGGCTGCCGGAGCGAACCCACGGGTCCGTGTGTGCCGCTAGCACTGGTGGTCAGCGCTGGGAACAGTCAGCTTACCCAATTTCAGGAACTTCCCGGGAAGATGGAAATTTAGTGCTTTTTTTAAATTCTCACCTGAGGACATGCTTATTAATTTTTAGAGAGAGACAGGAAAACATCAATCAGTTGCCTTCCCATATACACGGAGATCAAACCCGAAACCTAGGTCTGTGCCCTGACTGGGGATTCAGCCTGCACCCTTTTTTGGTGTACAGGCTGCTGCTCCAACCAGCTGCGCCACGCCGGCAAGGCAGTGTTTTTTTTTTAAACCTACAGTATGGCCCCAGCTGGTGTGGCTCAGTGGGTAGAGTATTGGCCCGAGGACTGAAGGGCCTTGGGTTTGGTTCCAGTCAAGGGCCCGTACCTCAGTTGCAGGCTCCATTCCTGGCCCTGGTCGGATGGCTCATTTGGTGTTTCTGCCACCCATGTTTCTCACCTTTCTTTCCCTTCCTCTCTCTCTCTAAAACACACACACACACCATCGTGTGAGGATAATAATAAAAAGATAGGCCCATTTGAAAAGTCTTATGACAAAAAAATATTTTCTGAGTAAGCATTTTTTTATCAGTCAGCAAAATTTTAACTTAGTACTTTTTGAGAATATGGTGGTGTGTTTCTCAAAACTTAATTCTCAAATTAATGTTCCCCGGCGGAACAGTTTTTCATTTGTTCAAATTTTATTTTGTTTGCACTTCTTTACCTCGGAAGGCATTTTTATGTTTTTAAGTAGTTTTGTGATGTGAGAATATTTACAAGAAAACCTTTGGTCCGTGTAGCTAGTTTCTGGTTGTTTTATTAAATCTGGAGATGATCTCTTTAGAGCCATGAAGTGGGTCCTGTTTGGTCTCTGAAAATCAAATTGTGGAGATTTTTTTATTGATTGACTGATTTCAGATAGAGAGAAACATGGATTTTTTTTGCTCCACTTACGTATGCATTTATTGGTTGATTCTTTTTTTTCTTTATTGATTAAGGTATTACCGTACATATGTGTCCTCATCCCCCATCGCCCCCCACCCCCATCCTTGGTTGATTCGTGTATGTGTGTGTCCTGACCGGGGATCGAACCCGCAGCCACATGGTGTAGATCTTATTTCTTTCCCTGACACTTGTCTTTGGCTGCCCTGAGCCTGACGTCCCTGCTCCGTGCTCTTGTGGGCCTGCCCGCGGGACCAGCCACTGCTGAAGGTAGTGCATTGTCTCCTTCCCCGACGCCTGCCCTGTGCTGACGGCTCGCTTCTCTGCCCAGGGGACCATCAGCGTCGGCATCGATGCCACCGACCTCTTCGATCGCTACGAGGAGGAGTACGAGGACGTGTCCAGCGGTGGCTTTCCGCAGATTGAGATCAACAAGATGCACATATCCCAGTCCATCGAGGTACGGACGCCCCGAGCGCAGGGTCTGGGTAACGGGGGAGTCTTCCGGGTTTCCTCCTCTTTATGTCTGAAAGGATGCAGTGAGCCCCTGAGAGAGCTGAAGTGCAGCCTGTTTGTGATGCAGCCGCCGGGCCGGGCAGGGGCTTAGCTTCCTGAGGCTCAGTCAGGGCGTCAGTCGGGAAGTGCAAATGGCCTGGGAGCCAAGGTTGTGGTTCCAGGAGAGAGAGCAGACCTCGTGGGCAGGCAAGGACCAGTCCACACTCTCCTGGCTGAGAACACTATTCAACTGAGCCCGGATGTGGCAGTGCCAGGCCATTCTCCTGAGGGTACAGTGGTCTCTGCCTCTCACCTCACTTGTTCTCAAGCCCATCAGCCCAGAGCCTGCAGTCCTGGCTCAGTCAGTGGGCCCACCACGGGAAGGCACAGAGCAGGCTGGCGCTGTGGGCACACTGAAGGCCAGCACTCAGTTTGCTGTTTCCCTGGCGTTTTGACATTTGCCCATTCAAGCTTTTACAGACCGTGCCCTTGGTGGCCACATGCAGTTCAGATGGCCAGGAGGGAGAAGTGAAGCCATTGAGGTGCTTCTGCCTCCCAGCGCCCCTGACGGTGGAGTCATCTGCACTTGGCGTGTCAGCTAGTCCCTGGGCTGTTGCCCGGCACTTCCTGTCCCTGGGACTCACCTATTACCTGCACCTGCCATTCCCCAGGCGCCCCTGACAGCGACCGACACAGCCATCCTCTCCGGAAGCCTCTCCACCCAGAACGGGAACGGAGGCGGATCCATCAACTTCGCGCTCAGGCGGGTCACCTCCGCGAAGGGCTGGGGAGAGGTGAGCACGGCAGGGCGGCCTGTGGACTTTCACCCTGAGAGCGGCCCGCGGTGGCCTGGGCTGGCCTCTCACCGCACAGGGCACCAGGTGTCAGACCTCAGGGAACTCCCCAGGAGAAACACGTCTCCTGTCTGAGGGAACCCCAGCGCCGAACAGCTCAGGCCGCACAGAGCTTTCCCAGACGCCGCTTCCAGAAAGCGAGCCTCTGGAGCTCGGGCTTTTCCCCTTTAAGCGAAACCTGGAGGCTGGTTTGTTGTCCTCTCAGCCAGCAGGCAGTGCCTCTGTCCCGGTGCCCGGTCCGCTGGTTGGCAGTCATTTAACAGCAAATTAAACAGCATCGAATTAACATTGAAGAGTTGCCTTGAAAGTCACCCAGACTAATACATGAGCAGCAGGGCTGGCGGCTTCCAGCTGTGTCAGACCGCTCATGGTTTAACGGCAGGCCTCGGAGAGCCATCGCAGTCCCCCGAGACCTGCGGGCGGCGAGGCTGAGCGGAGTGGCAGTGCAGGTGGCCCTGCGAGGGCCAGAGCCCACCTGACCGCACAGCAGGCGCCAGGCTCCCTGAGCTGGGGGGAGGGGGGTGCTGGAGGGAGGGACTCCTTTCGGAAGCACGCCTCAGTGAGGTCAGGATGGGCAGTGAGTCTGCAGCCCCTTTCTCGGGAGCCCCGCCCAGGCCGGGACCTGGCATCGGGAGGGATCACAGCGGGGCCGGCCTGGGGCCTGGGTTGCTGCCGGAGGAACCCCCGCTAACGCTTCTCTCTCTCCTTCCTGAACAGTTAGAGTTCGGAGCGGGGGATCTGCAGGGCCCTCTCTTTGGTGTAAAGCTGTTCCGTAACCTCACGCCAAGATGGTAAATATACAGAGATCAACCCTCTCTGAGGCCTTTGTGGCTTGGAGAACAGGCTGTGTGTCTCTTTGTCAAGGTCATCCGGATTGGCCGGCTGCCCTGCGGGCACTGGGCAGGCGCTGAGAGGGTGAGGAGGCTGTGAGGAGGCTGTGAGAGGGTGCACAGAGCCCCGAGGGCCCGCTCTGCCCTGTGGTCCGCAGTCCTCTGTGGGGCTGTGAGGACCCGAGACTGGGGGAGGCGCCTTCGTGGGGACATTGGTTAGCGTCTGGCACTTTCATGAGCTCGGGCACCATCTCTCTGTCCCCGAGAATGAGGGTAAGCTCCGAAAGGGGCCTCTGAGCAGTGGAGCTCGGGAGACCCCGGCTGTGGAGCGAAGGTGCCAGAGCTTTGAGGCCTGGGGCCCTTGTGTCACACTCCTAAACTCTCCCTGTTCCTCTGGACCAGCATGGGGTACTGTTCCTACTCGGGTGCTGTGAGCTCAGATGAGGATGGAGGGGAAGATAACTAGTGTTTTCCTGGGCAGTGACACGTAGTCCCAGGAGGCCTGGTGGGAGCCTGCTCCAATGGGGGGGGGGGTGTTGGCCACACTGCAGGGAAGGCCGGCCCTGCCCTGTGGTCCGTAGTAAAAGCAGCTCCGAGGGTCCATCCGACACACAGGACACTGAGCGGAGGGGGGGGGGGATAGAGGGCGCCCCCTGGGCAGAGGACGTGGGGAGGGGCTCCAGGCTCCGGTAGCCTGTCGGTAGAGTCCAGCTTCCCCACCTCTGCCCTAGGACTGGGACCAGGGTCTGGGGAGGGACAGGATTCATACTTTTAACCAGAGCATCCGGTGGGCGTGGCCCTGGCCTTGTCTGCCTGGGGGTGTCGCCTCTGCCTAGCCCCTAATCTGAGCAAGCAGATCAGGGCACTCTGAAGGTGGGACACGTGAGGAGACACGAAGACAAACCATGGGCCATGTCGTCCAGTTGAGCCTCGAAGTGTGCGCAGAGTGGTTCCCGGGCCTAGGGCCGGCTCGCCCTCAGCTTTGCTGGTGTGCAGGTTCCATCAGAGCCCCGGGCAGCAGGCCTGCATGGAGGGCATAACAAGGACACTGGTCCTCAGTGTGCCGTGTCAGTTCTGAGCGCCCTGTGAGTCCAGATCAGTGACGAGAGGTTTATTGTGTGGAGTCGGCCCTAGGAAGGCAGCACTGTCTGCAGAAGGTTCTCGGTCTCCGTGAGGGATAGTCCCCCCCGCTCCCCCAAGGCCTGTCTCTCTCTAGGACATGCTGGGTGAAAATCAAGACACTTCCTATACTTTGGTTCTTTTAACTGTCACTGTCACTCTCTTGAAGTCCAGGGGTGACTTCTCTCTCTCTCCCTGCTTACTCCCATTGTGACTAAAGCAGAAGTCGTAGCCTTTGGGTATGACATGAGGGTGAGCTAAATGCAAGGGGAGGTGAGGAGGTGAGGTTGGGCCTGAGGAGGGCAGGCTCATTCACTTGTCTGTGGAAGCCATCTGAAGTCTGAAAGGAGCGATGTGATCAGAGTTACCAACTTTGTCATTTTAATGGGAAAAGGGATGCCTCCGAGCTTGGGAAGAAGAGAGAAACCAAATTTAGGCAATCTAGTGCCTGGGCTGCGGGGCACCCTATCTGCTCACCTCTGAACACCTTGAGTCAAAGGGTGTGAATTCCTTTGCTTCCGAAGTGAAGTACCCCTTCTCACCAGAAGGTGGCGCTGGCTCCCTGGAAACTACAGTAGCTGCAGAGGCCTTTCTGGAATGGCCCGCCTTGCGGGTGCTGGGCTGTGCGGTGCTGGCGTGAGGTCGCAGCCGCACACACTTTACTTGTAGCTAATGAGATGCCAGGAGTGGACTCCGCTTGTGTCGGCCAGCCTGTGGGAAGGCTGGTTTCCTTACCCGTCATGTGGCTTAACAGCCACAGGGCCTATTGGGGTCACTGAGGGAGGGCTGCGGCACCACTCCCCACTAGCTTCAGTCTGTGGGTGGCCGTCCATCCCGTGGGCACGCTTGTTGTGCCTGGGCCCCCGGACATTCGGGCTGAATTGGTCTGGGTGGACTCTGGGCAGTGGTTCTCAAACTGCTGCCGTTAGTTACCTGCAGCTTTTAATGCTCCAACCGGAGCCCCGGCAGGAGCCCACCGCGGCATCTAGACTCAAGGTGAGGCTAGAGTGCGGCTCCCCGGGCAGTTCTGACTTGCCGTGGCCTGGTGGCCTGGCTGGGAGCAGGCGGCTGAAGTGGGGGTGAGTGGGTGGGGGTGCAGATCAGCAGGTGACAGCGGGAAGATTTCCACTGAGTCGCCCTCTGACTCCCTCTCATGATAGAGGCTCGGTCTCCTGCTCTCCGTGCTGGGGAGCCAGGGTAATGGGGGTGCTGTGAGCAGGGTCTTCGCAGAGAGGAAGGGGCTGGGAGCAGCTGAGAGCCGGCGTCATCCGGGACCTTTCTGTCTGCCCCCTCTCCCCAGCTTTGTGACGACCAACTGTGCGCTGCAGTTTTCGTCCCGGGGCATCCGGCCCGGCCTCACCACAGTCCTGGCGCGGAACCTGGACAAGAACACCGTGGGATACCTGCAGTGGCGGTGGGGCATCCAGTCCGCCATGAACACGAGCATCGTCCGGGACACCAAAACCAGCCACTTCACCGTGGCCCTGCAGGTGAGGCCACGTCCTCCGCTCCCTCAGCGTGCCCCTGGCAGTCTGCCCCATCGGGCGGTGCCCAGAGGGACCTCAGGGGGCGTGTCCCGGTCACTCCCTCTCGGGGGGCTGGCATGCCATGTTCTCAGGCTCCCAGGGTGGCTTAGCATGTGCAGTGTCCTAAATCAGAGGCGCCCACAGAACCGGGGAGAGGCAGCCCAGGTTGGCGGGTGACCCAGAGCAGAGTTTTGCACTCAGATGCCACTTGGGCTGGGCAGGGGAGTGAGACAGGCCACCCCTCAGGGACAGCTCGGTGTTACCAGGTGTACCAGTTACTAATGCGGATTTTGTAATCAAAGAAAACACGGTAATTTCAAGAGAAACATCAAAAGTGCTTTATTCAAAGTAATGTCCATCTCTAGCTACACATTTCCCCATCTTTCAGGGATTTTGTGGGTACCGTCCCAATAGAACTTTTCTTGTTTTGAGGCAAACCATTCAGAGACCCAATTTTCCACTTCTTCGTATGCTTTGAAATGCTGCTAAGACAGTGCGTGTGCCATTGATCGGAACAAGTGGTCATCTGAAGGAGCAAGGTCTGGTGAACACGGCGGGTGGATTAATACTTCCCAGCAAGATCTTTTAACGAGTCTTAACTGGTTTTGAAGTGTGTGATGGTGTGTTATCATGAAGCAAAATTACTTTGCTGTGTCTCCTGGCACATTTTGGTCGTTTTACGATCAAAGCATGGCTCAAATTGATTATTTGTTGTCATTAGCGATCAGTATTAATGGTTTCACCTGGTTTTAGAAGCTCACAATACACCACACCTTCCTGATCCCACCAAACGCAGAGCATTGTCTTCTTTCCGAAGTGATCTGGCCTAGCAGTTGATGTTGATGGTTGACCTGGATCAACCCATGATTTTGTGCGTTTGGGATTCTCAAAATAAACCCACTTTTCATCGCCAGTCACAATTCCATGCAAAAAAAACTTTCTTTCGTACTGTTGAAGCAACATTTTACTGATGACTTTTCGGTTTTCTATTTGTCTTTCTTTCAGTTGATGTGGCACCCATTTTCCTTCCTTTAAAATCTTTCCCGTTGCTTGTAAATGATTGGAATTGTTTGCTGAGCAACGTTTAATCTTCAAGTTGTTTTTGAGTTTGACACGCATCTTCATCCAATTATGCTTGTAATTTTTGGTCTTCAAACTTTTTCGGTTGACCTTTTTCGGTTCTTTGTCTTTCACATCAAAATCATCACTTTTAAAGCGTTTCAACCAGCATTCACAAGTATCTTAAGATGGAGCATGTTCACCATAAGCTTCCCGAAGTATATGATAACTTTCAGCAGCACTTTTCTTCAAAATAAAGTAATGAATTAAACTTCTCACAAATGCTCTTTATTTTGGCACGAAATTTGACATTTTTTTAAGTGTAAAAATATATGATGTTAACACCTTCAGAAAATTTGACATACAAAGTTTTGAATCTTGTTGTCAATACAAAATAGCATACATATCAAATCACATATATATCAACATATATGTGTAACTCTATTTTAAAAATCCGCATTATTAACCGGTACAGCTGGTAGACTTCCTTCTCAGGAGAAGTAGGAAGCTGGGTATTATGTGAAATCTTCTTGTGTAAATATTGGCTACGGGTAAGTTTCCCCACACCTTGTGAGCTGCCAGGTGGTGGCCCTGCCGAGAGGCTGGCCTGCGGTGTGTGCCCAATGGCCAGTCAAGGGCAGTGCCCTTTTGGCCACAGGGTCCCGGCCACCGGCCATGTCTCTCTCCCTGTCTTCTCAGCTTGGAATCCCTCACTCCTTCGCCCTGATCAGCTATCAGCACAAATTCCAGGATGATGATCAGACTCGCGTGAAAGGGTCCCTGAAGTGAGTGCTGGCCCCTGCCCGGAGCCTGCCCACGGGTCTGCAGGCGGAGCTGGTTGGCGGAAGAGCCGCTCTGGCCACCTGTCACGCATGACATTCTCAAGCTCGGCCTGCCGAGTGGCAGTGGGCTTCACGCCTGTGGGGACCCAGGGGTTGAACTGGGGAGTTGAACAGCCAACTTGGATGGTCAGTGTCCCGGCTCTGTTCCGTCCGCTCCCTGTGGTGGTGGCAGGGCGGGCGTGGGCTGGGTGGGACCCACCTGTTGTGATGACAGTGCCGGGGCCGGGCGCTGAGGTCCTGTCCCATCTGCCCCCAGGGCCGGCTTCTTCGGAACGGTGGTGGAGTACGGGGCCGAGAGGAAGATCTCCAGGCACAGCGTGCTGGGGGCCGCGGTCAGCATCGGCATCCCGCAGGGCGTGTCTCTCAAAGTCAAGTAAGTGGGACCCAGATACTCGTGGCCGCCGGTTACCTGGCTCCCGTGCTGCCTGGGCGTGGCCGACGTGAGACGGATTTCACTGAGTGATGCTCTCAAAGGAGCAGCTGCCTCTTCCGTCCTCAGTGTGTAAGCAGATGCCAGGGAGCCCATGAAGCGCCCGCAGTGAGTGAGGCCAGCTTCCACGGGCCTGTGTCTCACTGCCCTGCCTCCCCGGCACCTGCACCCCCAGCCGGGTGCCAGCCCCGTGCCCCTCACCGACACCACACGGCCCCAGCGGCCTCGGCAGCACTGGCAGCGGCATTTGTCCCTCTGCTCCGGTCCTCCTGCCTCTCTGCCTTTGCTTCGCCTGGCCGGTGGCTTCTGCTGGCCCCGCCGCCTCCTGTGTGTGAGTGACGGGAGCCCTGGCCGGCCTGCACGCAGACGTGGGTAGCTGCGCTGTGAGGCAGTGGTGGCCACCCCTCTGCTTCAGCCCCGCACCGCCCCGGGGGCAAACCAGCGTCCCTCAGGCCCTGTGACCTGCCGTCCGTTCAGTGGGGACTTTACTGGTCAGAGAACCAGGTTTTGGCTTTGCTGATTTTCTTTACTGTTTTCTGTTTCACAGATTTCTGATTTTATTTCCTTTTTTTCAACTTATTTTTGTTTAATTGGCTCTTCTTTTTCAGCTTTTTAAGGTCAGGCCTTAGATTAATTTTAGACTTCTCTTTTGTTGTTGTTAATCCTCACATATTTTCATTGTTTTTTGTTTTTTTAGAGACTGGGAGGGAAGGAAGGAGGGAGACATTGATGTGAGGAGGTGTCCATACTGATCGGACCTGCATCAGTCGTGCTGCTTTTGATTGCTTGCAGCATCACGGGGTGTGGCGGTCCAGTCTGTCCATCGGTTTAAAGGTGTTTCCATTGGGCCCTGCCGGGTGGCTCAGTGGTTGAGCATGGGCCTAGGAACCAGGAGGTCACAGTTTGATTCCGGTCATGCCCAGATTGCGGGCTCGATCCCCAGTGGGGGCATGCAGGAGGCAGCCCATCAATAATTCTCTCCCATGGATGTCTCTATCTCCCTTCCTCTCTGAAATCAATACAAATACATATTTTTTAAAAAGACGTTTCCATTGCTTACAGTGTTTGATGGCTACAAACAAAGTCTATCGGACGTAGGTTTGTGTGAACAGTTTTGGTTTCTCTGGGGTGAGCAGGAGGAGCAGCTGCTGGTAGCGGGGAGCTGGTATCAGGGAGCTGGGCGCTTACTTTACGCCACTGCCAGGCCTCCTCCGAAGTGGAGCTTTCTCCACTTTCCCGTTTCTCAGCCTTTGGATACGGTCTTAATTTTGCCTATTTGAGTGGGTGTATAGGTATATCTTGTTATGGATTTTTTTGTTTATTTTTTTTAAATATATTTCTATTGATTTTTTAGAAAGGGAGAGTGATAGCTAGAAACATCAGTGAAAAAGAGACATCAATCAGCTGCCTCCTGCACACCCCCTACTGGGGCACGTGCCCTCAACTGGAATGGAGCCTCGCAGTCTGCAGGCCGCCGCTCTGTTGAACCACAGCAGCCAGGGCTTCTGGTGGGGCTTTGATTTGCATTTTCCTAACAGCTGATGGTGGTGAGAGAGCACCTTTCCTCAGCCTGCAGCTGAGCTGTGGAACGGGTCCCTCCACCCGGCGTGCAGTGTGTCTGAGGCTTCCGTGGGCCGAGACCCACAACGTCCCTGGAACCTGACACACCTCCCATGTTTGCCTTTGTTTTCAGGCTAAACAGGGCCAGTCAGACCTACTTCTTCCCCATTCACCTGACGGACCAGCTGCTCCCCAGCGCCGTGTTCTATGCCACCGTGGGGCCGCTTGTGGTCTACTTCGCCATGCACCGCCTCGTCATCAAGCCGTACCTCAGGGCCCAGAAGGAGCGGTGAGTGAACGTGCCCCCAGACAACTCTGCCTCAGTGTCCGGACCTTCCAATGGCGCTGACGCTAATAGAGCCGCCCCATGTTTGTATCAGGAAACATTTAATGTGGGCAAATGCGCAGGTGGGGCGTGGCCCACAGGAAGGAGCCAGCAAACATTAGCTGTTCTGGAAGGGCCCTCTGAGCCTGAATCATTCATTCCTGCTTTCAGGAGGGATTAAGTGGTTTACAGAATTGGGGAGACTTTGAACCAGGGGTGGGGAACGTCTAGCCCGCGGGCCCTGGAAGGCCCTGGGAGGCCTTTGGCCCGGCCTGCCACGGCATGAGCGGGCGCTAGGTCAGGGAGTTCGGGTCCTGCTTTCCCAGGAGGTTGAGGCTGAAACAGGATGTGCTGGTCACGGCTTCTAGCGGGAGAGTGTGTGCCGCCCAGGTCCCTGTGCGTTGCCGAGGGGATAGGGTGTGTATGGCGTCCTTCCCAGAATGTTAGGGGTAACCCTCGAAGGTTGACATCCCCTGTGACGCACCTGCTCTGCCCTCCCACATCCCTGCGTCACTGCAGCGGGGCTTCTCCCCGGGGACCGCCACTGGTTTCCGTCCGCTCCGGCGAGGCGGCGAGAGCCATCCAGGACACGGCCTGTGACAAGCAGCTTGGCACGCGATTGTCCTGGAGTGAGAGCTCTGGGACGGTGTGCAGGAAGCTCACAGGCTGTTTGCTGGGCACGTAACACTCGCTAATGTGCGCGTGTTTGTGTCGCACAGGGAGCTGGAGAAGCAGAGGGAAAGCACAGCCACCGACATCCTGCAGAAGAAGCAGGAGGCGGAAGCCGCGGTAAGCGTCGGCCGCCCCGCCCCTCCGCCCTGTGTCCGCCCCGCCCCTCCGCCCTGTGTCCATCCCGCCCCTCCGCCCTGTGTCCATCCCGCCCCTCCGCCCTGTGTCCGCCCCGTCCCTCCGCCCTGTGTCCATCCCGCCCCTCCGCCCTGTGTCCGCCCCGTCCCTCCGCCCTGTGTCCGCCCCGTCCCTCCGCCCTGTGTCCATCCTGCCCCTCCGCCCTGTGTCCGCCCCGCCCCTCCGCCCTGTGTCCGCCCCGCCCCTCCGCCCTGTGTCCATCCCGCCCCTCCGCCCTGTGTCCATCCCGCCCCTCCGCCCTGTGTCCGTCCCTCCGCCCTGTGTCCGCCCCGTCCCTCCGCCCTGTGTCCATCCCGCCCCTCCGCCCTGTGTCCGTCCCTCCGCTCTGTGTCCGCCCCGCCCCTCCGCCCTGTGTCCGTCCCTCCGCCCTGTGTCCGCCCCGCCCCTCCGCCCTGTGTCCGTCCCTCCGCCCTGTGTCCGCCCCGCCCCTCCGCCCTGTGTCCGTCCCTCCGCTCTGTGTCCGCCCCGCCCCTCCGCCCTGTGTCCGTCCCTCCGCCCTGTGTCCGCCCCGCCCCTCCGCCCTGTGTCCGTCCCTCCGCCCTGTGTCCGCCCCGCCCCTCCGCCCTGTGTCCGCCCCGTCCCTCCGCCCTGTGTCCGCCCCGCCCCTCCGCCCTGTGTCCGTCCCTCCGCCCTGTGCCCGTCCCTCCGCCCTGTGTCCACCCCGTCCCTCCGCCCTGTGCCCGTCCCTCCGCCCTGTGTCCGCCCCGTCCCTCCGCCCTGTGTCCGCCCCGCCCCTCCGCCCTGTGTCCGCCCCTCCGCTCTGTGTCCACCCCGTCCCTCCGCCCTGTGTCCGCCCCGCCCCTCCGCCCTGTGTCCGCCCCGTCCCTCCACCCTGTGTCCGCCCCGCCCCTCCGCCCTGTGTCCGCCCTGTCCCTCCGCCCTGTGTCCGCCCTGTCCCTCCGCCCTGTGTCCGCCCCGCCCCTCCGCCCTGTGTCCGCCCCGTCCCTCCGCCCTGTGTCCGCCCTGTCCCTCCGCCCTGTGTCCGTCCCTCCGCCCTGTGTCCGCCCCGTCCCTCCGCCCTGTGTCCGCCCCGCCCCTCCGCCCTGTGTCCGTCCCTCCGCCCTGTGCCCGTCCCTCCGCCCTGTGTCCACCCCGTCCCTCCGCCCTGTGCCCGTCCCTCCGCCCTGTGTCCGCCCCGTCCCTCCGCCCTGTGTCCGCCCCGCCCCTCCGCCCTGTGTCCGCCCCTCCGCCCTGTGTCCGCCCCTCCGCTCTGTGTCCACCCCGTCCCTCCGCCCTGTGTCCGCCCCGCCCCTCCGCCCTGTGTCCGTCCCTCCGCCCTGTGCCCGTCCCTCCGCCCTGTGTCCGTCCCTCCGCTCTGTGTCCGTCCCTCCGCCCTGTGTCCGCCCCGCCCCTCCGCCCTGTGTCCGCCCCTCCGCTCTGTGTGCTCTGAGCGCTGCGAGCAGCCACCTGCTCCTCTGGCTCTGGCCACAGCCCCAGCTCGGCCTCAGGCCTCGGGCTGCTTCCCCGAGGCTGCGCTCACATCGGTCTGTATGTTGCCACTGGCGTGTCATTCCGGGAGCTGCAGGCTGTTCCGAGGGTGAGACTCGGTGGCCCTCGGAAGGCACAGCCAAGTGTTTTCACATGTGGGTGGTGCCCCGTCTCCCTTCCCCTCACGTGGCTTGTTATACGTGCCATAGCTGACGCCCAGGATGAGTGGCAGCACTGCCGGTGCCTGCGGGCAGGGGAGGCTGAGCCTGGACAGAAAGGTGCCCGGCGAGGGCCCTGATGGCCGCCTGCCCCTTCTTTGCAGGTTCGGTTGATGCAGGAATCTGTCCGAAGAATAGTCGAGGCAGAAGAATCCAGAATGGGTGAGAAGGCGTGGCGTCTCTGGGACAGGGTGTTCGAGGGGGTTCTCAAAGGAGCACCCGCTCCTGCAGGCCGGCTGCGGGCGGACGGGGGCGAGGGTGTTGGCGGGGCCACTGCCCTGACCGAACTGGTCCTCAGGCCTCATCATTGTCAACGCCTGGTACGGGAAGTTCGTCAACGACAAGAGCAAGAAGAGCGAGAAGGCGAAGGTGATCGACGTGACGGTGCCCCTGCAGTGCCTGGTGAAGGACTCGAAGCTCATCCTCACAGAGGCCTCCAAGGTAGACAGGCCCAGGACTGGACAGAACGGCCTCGGGGCAGCTGGCCGCTGGGAATGGCCCTGTGGCCATTTCATCGCATCACAGTCCTGCCCAAGCTCACACCCACATGGGAGCAGTTTACTTCTTGTTTCACCTATTCCTCCCCTCAGCAAGCGTTTACTGAGCACCTACTGTGTGCAGTCAGACGGCACACAAACCCTCTGCTCCCTCTCGGGGAGCATGCCTCACCTAGCCCTGCGGGCCCCTCCTCTCCCCGGGCATCGCCTTGGCCTCTCCCTCTCCTGAGCTCCCAGGGCCCTTCCCTGGCTCCTGTCACCTGTTTCCTGAGCCGCAGAGGCCAGCTGCCTCGTTCTGCTGCCTTGTGCTCTCCGCATGAGCTTTCTCAGAATCTGAAAAAACACAGGACACATCCTGCCTTTGTGGAGCTCGCCTTGGGCCAAAGGCATATGAGGTCACGCTGGAGCCTGGGGTGTGGACAATGAAACTGGGTTAAAGTGCAGGTTTGCACCTTGGCCTGTGTAGCTAAGTGGTTAGGGCACCAGAGGGTCCAGGGTTTGATTCTTGGTCAAGAGCACAGACCTGGGTTGCAGGTTCAGTAATTGGTCCTGGTCCTGGTCCTGGTCAGGGTGTGTGTGGGAGGCAACCAATCTGTGTGTCTCTCTTTCATTGATATCCTCTCTCTCTCTCTCTCTCTCTCTCTCTCTCTCTGCCCTCCCCCCCCCCCCCACCCTCTACAATCATTGGAAAGGATAGCCTCTGGGGAGGATTAACAAAATGCATATAAAGTGCCTGGCTCAAGGCCAAGAGCATCCCTTGTGTGTTCCTTCCAGTGTGTTCCAGTGTGTCTGGGCAGGGCTTCTGTGAAGACTGGTGTATGGGGGAGGGAGGCGTGTGGAGAGGGAAGGCTAGGACTAAATAGGCGATTTTTTCAAATTCTCATTTCTTTCTCCTCAGTGGCCAGAGTGCGCCTTCCGAGGGCAGAAGGCCCTTCCGAGGGCGCCCCGCCTGAGGGGGGGCCGGGAGGGGGGACTGGGGCTGGGGGGGTAGGCAGGCAGCAGGCGTGCGCGTTCAGACGCCCGTCTCGGCCCCCCTCGATCCGGGTCTCTGTTGCAGGCTGGGCTGCCCGGGTTCTATGACCCGTGTGTGGGCGAGGAGAAGAGCCTGAAGGTGCTCTACCAGTTCCGGGGCGTGCTGCACCAGGTGATGGCGCTGGATGGCGAGGCGCTCCGGATACCCAAGCAGTGTGAGTGCTGCCCGCGCCCGCTGCGGGGACCGGGGGCCTCGTGTGGACCCACAGCCACAGCCCTCCCCTCCTGCAGACGGGGGCGCCCTCGGCCTGGGACGCGCTGCCCTGAGGCAGGGGGCAGTCTGGGGCGGAATCACACGAGCGCTGTCCTTGAACGGCAGTGAGGGTGGCAGGGTGTGAAGCAAACCCAGCTGCTCCTTTACGTTCCAGAACCTCCTCCGGCCTCTGGTCTGCTGGTGGCTGAAGCAGAGTAGAGGCCGCCATGGGAACGGCTGCCTTTGCCGCACTGAGTCTCTTTTCTCCCACAGCTCACAGGATCGACACGGACGGATAGACTGCCTGAGAAAAAGGATTAGAGAGGCTGCAACAGCTTTTCCTGGGAGTGTACACATTTGGAAGCAGGAAACCCAGACATCAGAAGTTTTATTTTATATTATTCCTCAGGAGGTGGTCCCGCATCAATTATGTGAAGGGGCGCAGACACCTGCTTGGTGGGCGCTGCAGGCAGGCTGCGGCAGCCCCCAGGACCAGAGCCTCCGCAGCGTGTCTGCTCCCAAGGATCATGTCCCCGGGGAGGTCCGTGTGGCGGCGGCCGGAACGGCCTGCCTCCTGACGCCACCTGACCCGGAGGGAGGACCACAGGGCTCCGGTCCAGCAAGCACCTGGGTGGCCGGCCTCCGGAAAGGCCTTTCCTGCTGAATGTGGAGGAGCGGGGCTCATAAATCTGCTTTTTATCTGAGAACCAGTGGCTCCGGGAATTAATTAGTCTCTGTCTCCCAGAACTTCTCCGATCATTCCACTGGCCCTGGCTCAGGACAGAGCAGTAACCTCTGGTCCAGGCCCGTCCCTTCCTTCCACCGGCTCAGCCTGCCCTGCCTGTGCCCCTCCACCTGCAGCGCTGGGTGAAGAGGGCAGGAGGCGGAGGGGAAGGTAGAGGCCTGGGCCGCCCGCAGACTGCCACGCCCGCCCAGCAGCTCCCAGGCCACGCCTCGCCCGCTCGGCCAGGAGGTGGCGCTGCCGCTCTGCGCACCCCGACTGGCCCAGCCCCTCAGGAGACTCCTTTCCGGGCGTCTGCCCCCAGACCTCCCTCCTCCCGCGCCTCTTGGTGTAGGAGCCAGGAAGCTGCAAGCAGCGTGTCTGTCACCTCTCAGGCCCGTGGGCGGTGGTCCCACAGCTCAGGCTTCACCCAGCGCTGGTACCAGTGGGTTCATTAGTAACCCCTCCCTCTGGTCCCTCCAGTTTTTACAAACCATTCAAAGTGTCCAACTATGAAATACTTACCTCCGTTTTAGAGGCCTCTGAGCTGCTGCTCCGATGTAAATCGTGCAATACACGTTGACTCTGCACCCACCCCGTTCTCTCCAAGCAGGTGCTCCTCTGGGCACCAACTCTTCCTTCTGCCTGAAGGGACTGCAGGAGGCCTCCCCCCAATAAACTTCCTGAAAGCGGGGTGTGGCGTGCGTCTACATGAGTGAGCAGAGGGGGGTGTGCATCTGAACGCTGGGAGTGAGCAGAGGGGGGTGTGCATCTGAACACGGAGTGAGCAGAGGGGGGTGTGCATCTGAACATGGAGTGAGCAGAGGGGGGTGTGCATCTGAACACGGAGTGAGCAGAGGGGTGTGCATCTGAACGCTGGGAGTGAGCAGAGGGGGGTGTGCATCTGAACGCTGGGAGTGAGCAGAGGGGGGTGTGCATCTGAACACGGAGTGAGCAGAGGGGTGTGCATCTGAACGCTGGGAGTGAGCAGAGGGGGGTGTGCATCTGAACACGGAGTGAGCAGAGGGGGGTGTGCATCTGAACACGGAGTGAGCAGAGGGGTGTGCATCTGAACACGGAGTGAGCAGAGGGGGGTGTGCATCTGAACACGGAGTGAGCGGAGGGGTGTGCATCTGAACACGGAGTGAGCAGAGGGGGGTGTGCATCTGAACACGGAGTGAGCAGAGGGGGGTGTGCATCTGAACACGGAGTGAGCAGAGGGGGGTGTGCATCTGAACACGGAGTGAGCAGAGGGGGGTGTGCATCTGAACACGGAGTGAGCAGAGGGGTGTGCATCTGAACACGGAGTGAGCAGAGGGGGGTGTGCATCTGAACACGGAGTGAGCGGAGGGGTGTGCATCTGAACGCTGGGAGTGAGCAGAGGGGGGTGTGCATCTGAACACGGAGTGAGCAGAGGGGTGTGCATCTGAACGCTGGGAGTGAGCAGAGGGGGGTGTGCATCTGAACGCTGGGAGTGAGCAGAGGGGGGTGTGCATCTGAACACGGAGTGAGCGGAGGGGGGTGTGCATCTGAACACGGAGTGAGCAGAGCGGGGGTGTTCATCTGAACGCTGGGAGTGAGCAGAGGGGGGTGTGCATCTGAACACGGAGTGAGCAGAGGGGTGTGCATCTGAACACGGAGTGAGCAGAGGGGTGTGCATCTGAACACGGAGTGAGCAGAGGGGTGTGCATCTGAACACGGAGTGAGCAGAGGGGTGTGCATCTGAACACGGAGTGAGCAGAGGGGTGTGCATCTGAACACGGAGTGAGCAGAGGGGTGTGCATCTGAACACGGAGTGAGCAGAGGGGTGTGCATCTGAACACGGAGTGAGCAGAGGGGTGTGCATCTGAACACTGGGAGTGAGCAGAGCGGGTTGTGCATCTGAACGCTGGGAGTGAGCAGAGCGGGGTGTGCATCTGAACGCTGGGAGTGAGCAGAGGGGGGTGTGCATCTGAACACGGAGTGAGCAGAGGGGTGTGCATTTGAACACTGGGAGTGAGCAGAGGGGGGTGTGGTGTGCACCTGTACCCTGGAGTGAGAGGGGAGGCACGTGCACTGTACACTGGGGGAATGAGCCACCAGAGGGAGGGGCCGCCTCAAAGGCCACCCCCCCCAGCCTTCGCCGCCCGGCGCCAGACCCTGCGGTGCACTCGGGCGGTCGCATGGGGACCGACCGGCCTGCTCCGCACTGGGCGGCCCGCAGGCAGTCCAGGCCGGAGTCAGGCAGCTCGCTCACTGCTGGTCGTTCTCACTGAAAGCACCTGTTTGTCAGGTGGCCGTGCCCGGCCTGCTCTCCAGCGGGACCGGAAGTCAGTCTTCCAGCAACACCAAAGTGAGGAGAGAACTTCAAATTAGTGCTTGTTTTCATTTTTTTTAAAAAATATATTTCATTGATTTTTTTACAGAGAGGAAGGTAGAGGGGTAGAGTTAAGAAGCATCAATGAGCCGAAACCAGTCTGGCTCAATGGATAGAGCGTCTGCTTGGGGACTGAAGGGTCCCGGGTTCGATTCCGGTCAAGGGCATGTACCTTGGTTGCGGGCACATCCCCAGTAAAGGGTGTGCAAGAGGCAGCTGATGGATGACTCCCTCTCATCGATGTTTCTCTCTCTCTCCTTCCTCTCTGTAGATAGAAAATCAATAAAATATATTTTTTAAAAAAAAGCATCAATGAGAGAAACATCGATCAGCTGCCTCCCGCACACCCCCCAGTGGGGATGTGCCTGCATCCAAGGTACATGCCCAACCAGAATCAAACCTGGGACCCTTGAGTCCGCAGGCTGACGCTCTATCCACTGAGCCGCACCAACCAGGGCTCATTTTTTTTTTTTTTCTTCTTAATATATTTTACTGACTTTCACAGAGAGGAGGAAGGGAGAGGGATAGTTAGAAACATCGACCAGCTGCCTCCCGCACGTCCCCCACTGGGGATGCGCCCGCAACCAAGCCACATGCCCTTGACCGAACTTGAACCTGGAACCCTTCAGTCTGCAGGCCAATGCTCTATCCACTGAGCCAAACCAGTTTCGGCTTGTTTTCATTTTTTAACTTTAAAAATATTATATTGCCGAAACCGGTTTGGCTCAGCGGTAGAGCGTCGGTCTGCGAACTGAAAGGTCCCGGGTTCGATTCCGGTCGGGGGCATGTACCTTGGTTGCGGGCATATCCCCAGTGGGGGGTGTGCAGGAGGCAGCTGGTCGATGTCTCTCATCGACGTTTCTAGCTCTCTCCCTTCCTCTCTGTAAAAAAATCAAAATATATTAAATATATATATATATTTTATTGACTTAGAGGGGTAGGTAGAGAGAAACCTTGATCAATGTGAGAACGAAACAGATCTGATGCCTCCCACAGCCCCCTACCAGGGGTCAAACCACAACCTGAGGCATGGGATGACGCTTAACCAACTGAGCCACACCGGCAGGACTATTTTTAATTTGTTTAAATGTATTTTTTATTGGTTTCAGAGATGCAGAGAGATAGGAACATCAATTATGAGAATCACTGATTGGCTGCCTCCTGCATTCTCCCCACTGGGAATGAAGCCCAGAACTTGGGCATGTGCCCTGCCTGGGGATTGAACTGTGACCTGGTTCATAGGTCAACGCTCAACCACTGAGCCCCACCAGCTGGACCCAGGACTACATTTAAATTGAGAGAAACATGAGTTTGTTGTTCCATGGATTTGTGCACTCACTGGTTGCTTCTACTATGTGTCCTGATCTGAGGTTAAACCCCCAACCTTGGTGTATTGGAATGGTGCTCTAACCACTGAACACCCCAGCCAGGGCCAGCGTCCCTTCCCTGCAGTGTAGGAAGACGCTCGGTCGCCTAGTTCCATCAAACCAGGCCGGGCAGAAGCATCTTCAGCACAGAGGCCGCCGTCAGCCGGAGCTGGCTGGCCAGGCAATGGGGCCCGGCCTGCTGCCTGAATCCTCCGTCCCCCTCTGTGTGGTGGGAGTGACCCCTGCACTAAGGCCCTCCCCACGGGTGTCTGCCACTCGGCCTGCTGGTTCTGAGCACGCCGAGTGGACAGCTGGGGCAGGCACTGGGTGACCACGGTTCTCACGCTCACAGCCCGGGCTCGGGGAGAGCCGGGCTCAGCTCCGCTGCTCCTGCCGGGGGCCTGCCCGGGGGCCCGGCCGCCCCGCCCCGCGGGCCCGCAGGCGGCCGCACAGCCTCCGTATCACCAGCCGCTGGGCCTGCAGGCGCTTGCGGAGCTTTTCGTTCTCCTTCAGGGTCACAAACAGCTGCTTCTTCAGGGCGCCCACGTCCAGCAGCGCGTAGCTGTGGTCAGAGGGCTGCGGGGGGCCGGCCGGCTGGGCAGGGGCCTCGGCTGCGTCCGGGGTGCATGGCAGGACCTGGGGACCGTGGCGGAGGTAAGCCCGGTGGCCGCGGAGGCGGAAGGGCCTGGGTCTCCCCGCGGCTCTCCTGCCCCCGTCTGCCCACCTGGTGGCGCCGCTGTCACTGGGAAGGCCTGACGGGCAGGGCCACCCCCAGGTGCTCAGTCTGGGCGCTGGTTTTCCTCACTGGATTTGAAACAAATCCCCTCTTACTGTCACCACCCGCCACGTGGCACCACGGCGCCGGCCGTACCTGCCCTGCAGGGTCTCCGGCGCCCGGAGGCGGCTGCGGCCCTTCGAGGGCAGGATCCGCCTTCCTCTGCGGCCCCAGCTCCCTGGCCTGCGCTTCCGGGAGGACCTGGGAAGGCAGGGAGGGCTGCAGGCAGACCGGCCTTGTCCCCCTCAGAGTCGGCCCTCCCACCCTGCCGGCTGGTCTGTGTCCTCCCTCACCAGCTGGGGCAGTGGCCTGATGTTGGGCCCAGTCGGGGTGTAAGAGACCTGCACCCCAAGAACCTCATTCTCAGGCCCATGTTTATCCAAGTATCCGGGGCCTTGAAACCCAACCCACCTCCACCCCGCCCACTGGCATCTGTTCTCCCAAGATGCTCCCAGACCGAGGCCCGAGGCCTGGGAAGCCAGCGGCCTGGCTTGTGTCGCCCTCGGGCTGGCGTCCTAGGCCAGGAGCAGGGCCTCAGGTCTTGTCAGTGAGCGGCCGCCTGTGGCACAAACGCCCGCCTCACAGCGGAGCCACCGAGGCCAGACCAGCTCCAGGCACCAAGCACATCCCCGTGTCCCCCCACCCCCCACCCCCCCCCGGGGTTGACTGCAGTCCCTCCGGGACACAGGACCACAGGGAAGGGCCCCATCCTCCGCCACAGACGCGCTGTGGGGGCGGCCGCTGACGTGGGCAGTTCGCAGAGCTCTCAGCCAGCACCCGCCGCCCCGCGGGACCTCAGGAAGGTGCTGAAGGGCAGTGCGGCCTCTGGCTTCCTGATCCCAGGTGCCCAGGCCCCGGCTGGCTGCTAGGAAGGGGTCCGAGTGCAGCTCAGGGGCTGGCCCTGCTGGGAAGGTCTCAGGTCTTCGCTGCGCGGCCTGGAGCCCGCGTGGGACCAGCATGAGTGAACGGCTAAGGGCCAGGCTCCGCCACACACGCAGTCACCGCTCAGCAGCCTCCTGGCGTGAGGCGGGGCTCATTTCTAAATCGGCTTTATGTGGGGACCTCCTGAAAGGAGGGCATGGCCATCAGGGCTACGCATGCTGCCCTCGACTCCCTGCCGCTCCCGCCTCCGTCCTGGACGGTCACCCTCCCAGAGGCAGCGCCCGCATGGGGCCCGGGCAGCGGTCTCGGCCTCGGATGTCCCCGGTGGCCCGCAGGCTGGCTGCGGCGGGCGCTCACCGGCCTGGCGTCGCGGAAGGCGAACTCGGTGGGCACGGCGTTGTGCTTGAGGTTCTTGCGGTTCCCGAAGGCACTGAAGCACTCGGGGCGGAAGTGCTCCGAGCAGATGACTGTGTGCTGCTTGGGCTCGAAGTTGCCCCGGCCGATGTTGAGCACCCATTCCTTCAGCAGCTCCGGCCGGCTGAACGGGAACCTGCGGCAGAGGCAGTGGGAGGGGTGAGCGGGCACCTGCACAGCTGGGCCAGGCCGGTGCCCTCACTGTTAAACCACATCCCATTTCCGGAAGCTTCCGTCACGCTGTCTGCAGCATCCTTAGGAAGCGTGGGATCATGAACGTGGCCCAAGAGCCGGCCCCAAAGCTGCATGTGCCAGGTGAGCCTTCATCCGCCCCCGGGGAGCCCGCCGGGGCGGGGCCTGCGCTAGGGGGCGGGGGGCGGGGGGCCGGACAGACACCGGGCCTCGTGCAGCCAACGTTCCAGAACAGCGCAGACAGACAGATGTACGTAGGCTGTGGGAACGGAGAGAGGACGGTCCGGGGCGGCCACCTGAGAGCTGTCCTTCGAGCTAGGTTGCTGGGAGCGTGTGGGAGCTCGCCGGTGTGGGTGTCAGGAGGGGAAGCAAGCAACAGGCGTGTGCCTGGTGGTTACAGGAGCGATCAGAGCAGACGTGGCTGAGACAGCGAGAGTGGGACCGAAGGACAGGAGTCTCGGGCAGATCTGGACAGAGGGGTTTGACCGAGCCCAGCCTGGCCGCTCAGGAGGGCAGGAGACAGCTCTTTTGTGGAGGGGGTGGGCTGGGGGGCAAGAGTCTAAGCGGAATGGGTTGGAGAGTGAACCGAAGGCCACTCCACCCCCAGGAAGCACCTGGCTGAAACATGCGTCCCAGCAGCACTGCCGAGCCTGGAGGTCAAAACACTGAGGCACCCAAGGCCCCGCAGTGGGACAAGTTAATCCTGGCTCTGCATCCAGTGGAATACTACGCAGCAATGAACTGCCACTGAGCACGACTCACAATTACGGACAAAAACAAGGGGTTCTGTGGAGACTCCCAGATGTCCTGATGGTAAATCCCTAACTGGGCGGGTCATGCTGGGCAGTCACACCCCAAACCCATCATTTCTTTAGTAAAAGGTTGGCCTTTGCCTTGGCCTTTATTTTTATGCATCTATTTCTATGCCTGAGCACTGGTGTGCGATAGTTAGCACACCGTGTTATCGATCTTGTAATCTAATCCCCCCCCCTTGCTTTCTCCCACCCTCACGTGATCTTTACTTTCCCTCCTGAATTTCGAATGCAGAACAGAAACCTGGAAACATATAAAACCCTCTCAGGTTTGGTCATTTCTTACATCGACATAAGTAAGGTAACGGTGAGAAAGAAAAGTAAAGCTCTGGCCAGTGTGCTCAGCTGACTGGGCGATGTTCCATGCCCCCAGAGGGCGCGTGCGGGTTGCAAGCCTCCAGAGTTTAGCAGATGCCCGCCGGGGAGGGGCGGGGGGTGCGGGCCTGCCCGGGGAGAGCCAGCTGGGCATTTGTCTTTAAGGGGCTAAAGGCTGGGGCTTTAGGTCTTGAGGGTCACAGAACACTTAGCAGCCTGATGCTGATGGCCACACCTGTCCTTCGTGTGGCTGGCAGTGCCCAGGGGGAGCGGTGCCACCTGGGAGGCGCACACCCTTCCTCCTGAGTGTCCTTAGGGCGGGAGGCGGGTGGCTGGGAGGCTGCACACTCCCGCCTGCGATCTGGCTCGGCCCCCGGCCCCCCGGCCCCCCGGCGCCCCCTCCGCTCGCCCCGGCTGACCGTCGCCGGTCTCAGCGCCGCCGGAAGCCCCAGCTCCCAGCGGGCCGCCGCCTTCCCCGCTGGGCGCTGGGAGGCTGCGCCCTCGGGGCGGTGACCCAGCCCTCCCCGCTCCCACGCCGGGCCCCCGCCTGCCCCGTGCCCTGCCGCCAGGCCTCGGGCTCCTGCGGGCCCGGGCGGGGCGGGCCGGGCCGGGCAGCCAGGACCCGCGCCCCGGCCTCACCGGTGGAAGGTGAGCTGCTTCCTGCGGCTGCTGTAGCGGTTGCAGCACTGCCGGGCCGCGCACGACTTCGGCATCTCCGGCCCCGGCCCGGCGCCCCGAACAAAGATGGCGGCGGCGCCGGGCGGGGGCGGGGCCTGCAGGGCGGGGGGGCGGGGCCGGGCCTTGGTGGGCGGGGCCAGCGGGAGGGGCGGGGCCGCGGGAGGTGCTGGCAGGCCAGGCTCTGCTCCGCGGCCCGCATCCTGCGTGCAGCCCCCCCACGTGAGTTGTCTGATGGGCTTCCCCTCCGTGAAACCCTGATTCGCTGAGGACCGTCGCCCTCACCCCGTTCGGGGCCCCTCAAACTTTATTCCCACCACCAGCTCAATGCCCAGCCTGGCCAGTATTTCCAAGACTTGAGCTGCTGAGATTTGGGGGCTCGAATGTCACTACAGGTGTTAGTGGGTCCCAAACGAGTTCCGTCCAGCCAGAACGGGCTCAGGCCCTCCGGGTGCCAGGTGGAAAGGGGCTGTATGTACACCCCCAGATCCCAGTCCTGCTTAGGGAACCTGAGGCTGCAGCTTTCACAAAGCCGGGTAACCACTCACTGGGATTTAAACAATTTGAAGGAATTGTGAGCCCTCACCGGTGTGGCTCAGTGGATAGTGTTGGTCTGTGGACTGAAGGGTCCGAGGTTTGATTCCAGTCAGGGGCATGCAGCTTGGTTGCAGGCACATCCCCAGTGGGGAGTATGCAGGAGGCAGCTGGTGGATGTTTCTCTCATCCGTTTCTAACTCTCTATCCCTCTCCCCTCCTCTCTGTAAAAAAAAACAATAAAATATATATATTTTTGAAAAGACATTGTGAGCTGCTCATGTCTATTCATACTATAATTTCTGGAGAATTTACTAGCAAAGGAGGTTGAAGGCTGTGAGCATTTTTCATCCGGCTAAACCGAACTCAAACTTCCCAAGTCCTGTCGTCGTGGTCTGGGGAAGTGATGAAGGCAGGTGGAAGCACCTTCAGCTCAGAAAAAACACACCTGAAGCTAGACATCAACCTCAAAGTAGTAATATCTTTATTTACAAAATGTACAGTTTCACAGAAACAGCTTCGCTTTTTACACAAACTTTACAATTACACAGAACCATGTAAACGATGTTAAGTGTCTGGCCCGGCCAAAGCCAACGGGAGGGACCTGCTTTTGGGGTGACATCTTTCCCTCCTCACTTCATCAGCCACCAACCAAGAGCCCTAGCTGGGCCATGCCTGATTTGCATAAAGCTGATTGCAGCTGCCAGCTCAATCAACACAGCACACACAAAACGAGGTGTCCTGACTCCTCAGACACCACCCACAGGGATGCACCTGCTAAAAGAACCAGGAGGAAATGAAGAAACAAATTGAGATGAATGTCCAAGCCTTCCAGGAGCCCCCAGGCCTTGAACCTGCTCAGTCGCCGGCGTTGGCTGTCCCATTGTGAAACCACAGGCACTCTGAAGCGCACCTCTAAAACTTTGTGGGTTATTTTTAAAGAAATAGGAGAAACACTTTGGAACTTTGGCTATTCTCATGGTGAAGACACTGGACAGGCAATGTCCTGGGGCAGATCTTTGGCAAATTCCTCTCCCAACTTCTCCTGCGTTTGCCCTCGCCAGAGTCAGAGCCAGCTGTCTGGGGAGGGGGGCGTTTCTGACCATTTCTCTCTACTGCACAACTTCTCCTTTGGGGATCTTGACAATAAACTGGGTTTCGGAAATTATGCCTACTTTTGTGTTAATAAAAGCATCAGGATTAAAAACAAAACAAAGGCAGTTGGCTTGTCAGGCACGAATGCTGCCAGGACAGAATGTGGGCTCGGACTGGCCTCCAGTTCAGTGCGTGGTGCTTCGGTGAGAATGTGGAGGGGAGACGGGTCCATCCTGCTGTAAACAAATATGACCAACCTGGGCATTCTTCCCTTTTCACGCTTTTACAAGAAACAATGTTTATTAAAACACACCCATCAATATACAAAAAAAAAAAAACAAAAAATAAACAACTTTCAAGAACCAGTATTTGAGCTGCTGAGCGCACTGTCCATCTGGGACAGCACTGAAGCCCGCCCCCCGTGGGGCCCTAGGACCACCGGTGTCCCAGGGTCCAGAGTCCGGGGCCCACAGGGGGGCCCCCAAGTCCTAGGACCTCTGCCCCACTCACTGGTGTACACCTGGAGGCCAATGTTAACATATCTCCCTCACCAGCTCAAACCAAAAAGGCTCCAGTCCTCCTTGGCCTGTGGGACCAGCAGGCCAATCTGTCCGGGACACTAAGGACTACCCGTGGGAGAGGCCTCCTCCGTTTTCCTCCACCTGCTTCCCATCCCCTGGGACTGCCTAACCTTGAGGCTGCTACTGGAACAATGTGAGGGGAAGGAACACCGTGAGGGGAGGGAACACCTTGCCTGGGCGCCCACAGGCCCCCGTACACCCATGGAGAGAGAGGGCACCCGGGCAAAACTCTGCCAACACTTTTGGCTGTATCGTGCAAAAAGACAGTTTTTACTTCGTGCAAAACGGGAAACGGTTATGAACACGGGCTGCTTCAGTCTCCCAACCAGCCCTCTTTCTACAGAGACGCGGCCACACCAGACCTCTTTGAACAAACAGAAGGAAAACGAGGGACCACGGGCTGGCCCCCGCTCCTGGCTCCTCTCAGGGAGGCCCAGGAGTCCTGCAGGCAGCCCGGACAGCGGGCCACCGCGGGAGGGGCAGCGGGTGGCTGCTGCACAGACACTTACGGTAAAGTTTGCACGTCTGGCTGTTTGTTACCGGGCCGGGAACCGATCGTCCCCGGCGCAGCGGAGGAGTAACAGGGCTTGTTCCGGTCGGCGGGTGGTTCTGAGGGTTCCTGGGGGCACGGACCCTCGGGGGCGGCTGGCCCACCCGCCGCAGAGCAGCTCCGGCAGCGGCTTTGGCCTCAGGACTGGCTCGGCCGCCGGCTATGTACAGTCTACACCGCGGACGCCTGTCCTGCTTAGGCACCTGAGTGGCAGGGGTCTGGCTGCATCAGAGCGGGGAGTTCTGTGCTCGACTAAGAAAGGGGCCCAAGAGCCCACCGTCCGTCCCCCCGGCTCCCCGCGGCCCCCGGCGCCAGCAGTCAGTCCAGGAAGAGCTTCCGGGAGCCCATGCGGGAGCGGCTGGAGCGGCGGATGTCGAACTTGGAGTCCCGGCACTTTTGGCAGACGAACACTTCCGGCACGTTGGATTTCCGGATTTTGGCACAGGACAGGTGGATCCAGGTGTGGCACTCGTTGCACTCGATCATCGGGCGGCCGGCAAACGGCTTCATGCAGAAGCAGGTGACGAGGTCCCACGAGTCGTCGTCTGAGAGAGAGGGACGCGTAAGAGGGAGGAAGACATCGCCTGACCCTCCCGTCAGGAGCCGCCCTCTGGTGGGACGGCAGAGCCACAGCCCAACTGCCCTCCCGGTGCCGCCTCCCCCCGAGCGTGTGGTCGGGCACCGAAAGGGCGCCCAGCGCTGTGGTCCAGGAGCTCGGTGCCGTGGGCACCAGGAGCCGCACTATTTGTGTACACGGAGATCGGGCCTCCGCGGTCTCTGGTGGCGATCACCCTCCCTGAGCACCTGTGCCCCCCGGCTTGCCCGTCCTCCCTGGAGGCGGTGGGCACCGGGGCAGGGACCGCCCGCCCGCTCACCTGAGTCCACCATGATGTCCTCGTCGTTGCCGGTGCTGTCCTCGTCGCGAAACACCACCTGCTTCCCCTGCCGGACGATAGTCCGCTTGCCCTCAGTCTTTATCTCCGTGACCTGGTCCGGCGACACGGTGGCGCAGGAGCCGCTGGACGGGGTGTCGGAGTCCCAGCCCGAGCAGGGGTCGGCGGGGGCCGCGGGCAGGCCCTGCAGCGGGGGGCTCGTGGGCGTCTCCGCGTACGGGTCGGCGGGCTCCAGCTTCAGCAAGCTGCCCACGTAGCCCTCCTTCCCGGGCGTCTCGCTGTCCCGGCGCCTCCTCTTCTTCTTCTTCTTCAGCTTGTCCGTCTTCTTCCTGTCCAGCAGGAAGTTGCTGGGCTTGGCGCGCTGCAGGAGGCCGGGCTGCAGGTGGCCGAAGCAGTGGTCTCCCGGCAGGGGCACCCCGGACGAGATGTCAGCGAAGCCGGAGTCCCAGCCATCGCTGTCCACGGTGCCCGCGGTACTGTTGGCGGGGCTGGGGCTGCTCCTCAGAGGGAGTTCCTGAAGGACAGGCAGAGGTTCCGGTTACTTCCAGGAGCTCTCCCAGGCCGGAGCCCTGCCCTCACAACCCGGCTCCCAGCTCTCCTCAGCACCGCTCTTTAAGAAAATGGCATTCGCATTTCATTCCAACCTTCCAGACCACGTGCCCCCAGGAGAGGGGACCTCCTGCCCTGCCTGGGGGACCCTCAGGCGCCTGGCTGGTGCTGGGTGGACCCTTGGGGGGAGGGGAGACCCGCTCTCCAGCCAGGATCCTCCCCTGCCTGGAACCTCTCCCTCCCTGGCCTCCCACAGGGGGCGTTTTTAATTAAATGAGTTTAAATTAGTTTTGAGAATTTCCCAGTACATTTTTTAAAAACTGGAGATAGCTCAAAATATTGCAAAGATTAAAGTGGGTGATTATTGCCCCAAAGCAGTGAGTGAGCTCCACTCTGGTCCCTTCAGACCATTCAAGCAATTTATTTGCAAATAATGGCCACTTTCTACATGGCACAGAGCAGGCAGGAACCCGAGACGGCAATGAAAGGGGTAAACCAAGCTGGGCCTGGCCCCTAGGAGCACTGGGTCCCTCTTCTCAGCCTCGGTCAGTGTGAATGAGGCTCTGAAGTCTGAGGACCATGGCAGGGCTGCTCCACAATGCTGCCCACTTATCTGCAACGGGGGGAGGGGATCCCTGAAATCCCGTGGGATTTGGGCCAGAGTCCCCGCGGGTTCTGTACGTGTGCAGGCAACCAGGAGGCTGCTGCCAGACCCCAGACTCCACCACTCACTGGGCAAGGCGTTCCCTCCCTGTGCCCATGTCCGAGCTTTAAAATGGGGACAAATAACTTCCCCTACCTCATTCCGTAAGAGCCAACCCAGTGCCTGGCCATAGCACTCAAGAAATGCTGGCCATTAAGAGCCAGCAGACAGTAGCACAGGATAGGGAATACAGGCAGTAATATTGTAATAACTGCCTTAGGCATCAGGTGGGAACTGGGATATGACTGATTGTCTATCCACTATGCTGTACTCCTGAAACTGATATACCATACTGAATGTAAACTGCGATTGAAAAATTAAACATAAAAAAAGAGCAGACTGATAGCAAATAGTTATTTTCTTTCCTTTTCTTTTTTAATATATCTTATTTGTTTTTTTTAACAGAGAGGAAAGGAGAGAGAGCTATAGTTAGAAATATCAATGAGAAACATCGATTCAGCTGCCTCCCGCACACTCCCTACTGGGGATGTGCCCGCAACCAAGGTACATACCCTTGACCAGAATCGAACCTGGGACCCCCTTCAGTCGACAGGGCAATGCTCTATCCACTGAACCAAACCCACCAGGGTGCAAATAGTTATTTTCAAGCAAACTAACTCATTTCTAGACAGACCTGCATTTTATTTCCTACCAGTTTGAGGAACCATTTCCCAGGCTGGTCTAAGTTTCCAAGAAAGATTTTTGCCCAACTCTTCTCTGAAGTCCTCCCACACACCCTAGTTTCCCTGCCAGAAAGGCCCCCATGCTGAGCATTACCTCCTTGGGATAAGGGATGTAGCCGGCATAGGCCAGGACAAAGGTGCAGAATTTGTTGAAATCCTCCACGGTCCTCCTCCTCTTGTAGCCGGGAGAGTACTCCTGTGAGCAGGGAGAAAGGGGTGGGTTTGAAAGCAGACACTTGTAGGTGGAATCACACAATGAGCTCTTATTGCTGCCAGCAAATCACGCTATAAGACTTATTAAACCCCTCAGACACAGCACCAGGGGAGCGCAGGTCAGGAAGAAACACTTTCCAGAGGCTGGAGGGGGGTTGAGCCAATCCTGGGAACTGGCCACTAGGAGATACAAGCTTGTCCAAAGCCATTCCTTAGCACTTCCGCGTGTTCCGGTTATCTGCTCGCCTCCTATCAGTGCAGTAACTGCTGTTTGCTACAGGTTTTCCATTTGGAAAATAAGCTGCTGCTGCCACCGCCTCAGGAGCTGAAGCCTGGAGCGACTTCAAAGGCCACTGCTCACTCCGGCCTGACCCTCCCCTCCCCGGCCAGACCCTCCTGGCCTGACCCTCCCAGGCCAGACCCTCCCTGGCCAGACCCTCCCCGGCCTGACCCTCCTGGCCTGACCCTCCCCGGCCTGACCCTCCCCGGCCTGACCCTCCCCGGCCTGACCCTCCTGGCCTGACCCTCCCGGGCCAGACCCTCCCCGCCCGCGGGGTCCCCCCTGGGCGGGCACTTCCTGCGGCCCCCGCTCCCGGGATAAAGCAGAACCGTCCTCCGCTCTGAGTTCTGGCTTCGGAGCCGCCGGTCCGGTCCGCATTCAATCTCAGGACCGCCCTCGCCGACAATGAACTTCCCCCAAGCACAGCGCCGCTCCAGGAGAGGGAGCCTGTGTTTGCTCCGGTTTGTGACCGGCGGACTGAGGTTTTCTTTAAGGTTTTCTCCCCGCACCGGCCCCCTTCGCACGGCCCACGGGCCCGGCGCCCCGCCAGGGTGATGGGGGGGAGGGTATGGGGGCGGGCTCAGGCCCCCCAGGACAGGGCCGGGGGCAGCGTGGCACCAGCGGGTTCCCTCCAGGATTTTCCCAACTCGGTTCCAGCAATCCACCTCCCCCTCCCCGCTCCCCGATCCCCCGGCCCGGCCCCGGGGCGCAGGGCGCAGGGCAGGGAGCGCCGATCGCGCAGGAAGCCAGGGACCTGCCTCCGCCGGGAGCCGCTGCCGCCCTCCCTCCGCCGGTGGGCGGCCCGCGGCCCTGCGCTCCCGGGAAGAACTTTGTTCCGGCGGCGGGGAAGGCGCGGGAGCGGGGCCGGAGCCTGGCCGGAGCCGGAGCCGGACGCCGGGCCCCGGGGCGGGGGGGGACCGGCGCCGCCCCCGCCCGCCGCCGCCTCAGGAAAAGCAGATGGCGGTGCGGCCCCCTCCGGCCTCCGCGGAAGCCGCCCCCCGCGCCCCCGGCCCCGGAAGGTGCGGGGCCCAGCCCGCGGGGAGGGGGCGCGGGGCGCCGGCGGGGAGGGGGCCGGGGCCCGCGGGGCCCGCACACCCCCGGGCGGAGCGCGGCGGAGAGCGAGCCCGGCGCCGCCCCCGCGGCGGACCCGGACCCGGACCCGGACCCGCGGCCGCGGGAGGGGCGAGGGGCCGCGGCGGGGGCGCCGACCGGGAGGACCGAGGGCCGAGCCCCGGAAGGAGGAGCGGGAGGCGGGGCGAGCGGGCCTGCGGGCGGGGGCCCCGGAGGGGAGAGCGAGCGCGGAGGGCGGGGGTCCGTGGGCCCGCAGGGTGGGAGCCCCGAGACCGGGCTCCCGGGGCCGGAGGGGGCGGGGCGCGGGCCGCGGATTGGCGGCAGCGGGGCGCGCAAGGCCGGTCCGGGTCCGAGGGGGGTGGGGGCCGCTCCGGGAGGGCGAGGGGGCTCCTCCGAGAGGCGAGCGCGGGGCGCGGCGCCCGGCCCGAGGCCACGGGGCGGTGGGGGGGTGAGCGAGGCCCCGGGGCGGTGGGGGGGTGAGCGAGGCCCCGGGGCTGGGGGGGTGAGCGAGGCTGCGGGGCGGGGCCCGGGCGCAGACAGGTCCGAGGCGGCCGCGGCCCGGGAGGGGTCGCCTCACGGCCGCGGGGGGACGCCGAGCGGGGCCCGTGGGGGGCGGGGCGGGGCGCCGGGGGCGACGACGGGAAGCTGGGGAGGCGGCGGCGCTCGGCGGCGGGCCCGGCTCCCGGGAACGGGGGACGGAGGCGGGGGTGGTCCGGGGACCCGGGCGCAGCTCTTACCTCGGGGTGGAAGGCGGCGGCGCAGGAGTCGGAGTCCATGTTCAGGGTGGGGGGCGGCGGCCGCGGGAGTGCCGGGCCGGAATGCGGGCTCCGGGCCGTGGGCCGCTCGGGGCCGGGGGCTCCGGCGGCGGCGGCGTAGGACCAGGGCGGACCGGGGAGGGGTCGCCCCGGCTAGAGGCGATGGGGGGGCTCGGCGTGTCGCGCCCCGGACTCCGTGTTTCCGGACCAGCGGCTCCACGGCCGAGCGGAGTTCGCGATGCAGCTCCCGCGGCCGGCGCGGCAGGAGAGGCGGGAGAGTCGCAGCGGGGGGCGGCGGCGGCGGCGGCGAGCGGGAACCCGACCGGCTCCCCGACCTGACGCCCAGTTCGGCTCGTGTCTCAGGAGGGAGGGCGGGAGATCCGCGAAGCCTGTCGGGAAATGTAGTCTGAGAGGAACTGGACGCCGATAAGGAGGGGGCGGGGCGCGGGGGTGGGCGCGGGGCATTGTGGGAGCCGAAGTCCCAGGCTCCGCGGCTGAGGCGCACAAAAGCCGCCTCAAGGACTCCAAACCCCATAGAGCTCCGCGGCGCGGCGGAGGCAGTGTCTCCGGGACTGGTGACCGCCGGAGCCGGGGGCTGTGCGGGGGCTCGCGCCGGCCGGGGTGGGGGAGGGGCCGCGCGGGCCGCAGCGCCTGTGTCTCCGCGGGGGCGGGTGGGGGCGGGGCTGGCGGCCTTGGTCTGGGAGCGCGGCGGCGGCAGACGCCTCCTCCGCCTCCTCCTCCTCCTCCTCCTCCTCCTCCTTCTCCTTCAGGATTAGGGGTTCGCGCTCCTTTGTGGGGCCGGGGTCCCCGCGCGAGAGTGGGGGTGGCGGCGCTGACGTCGGGCTACCCCCGGGCTTGGCTCCCCGCGCGTCGGTCCGGGGAAGCGAACTTGGCTTCGCGGCCGTGGGCTTTCTGGCCGAGTCCCCCGTGCCCCGCGGTCCGGGATCCGGGTTCCGGGGCCGCGGGACCGAGACCCTCGTGGTCCCCGGAGGACCCACCGAGAGGTGTCGGGTTATGGCGTCCGAACCCCTCCCGGCGGGACCGATGTTTGGGAAGATGTTTGCTTTCCGCTCCCTCCCCCCGCCCTGGGCGTCCTCACTCGCAGTGCCTCCCCTAGCTCGCTCGTCGCAGGATCGCAGTTGAGGCAGAAATGGAGATCTTCGTTCGGGGCTGCCTTCGCCTCTGGGTATGGATATGGAACAGGCGTCTGCAGTGTGAGTTTTACAACTTCGATGCTGGAGGCTGGTCGCCTGTGAACACCTCGTTGAAAATGAACTCCTCTGATCAAATTACCAGGAGGAGGCCTGGCGTTCTTTCCCGTTTTTTGAAAGGAAAATCTGTGTGCCAGGGGGTCGGTAGCATCTTCTGAAGCTTGGAAGACGAACGCTTAATGTTAGAGAGGAGTGACGTTAGCATTTTAAGTTTAAATCAGAAAACTGGCTTTTCGGTGCGCTAAGTCAGAGGGATGGTGGGAAGAGCCCCCGAGAGATGAGGTTGTTTCCGAGGAGGGAGCGCAGGCCAGCTGGTTGGCCACTGCCAGGCAGGTGGTTGGGAGAATGCTGGTGGAGATGTGCAGTGGTTAGGGCCTGGCTTTATTTTAGAAATACTTTTCTTGAGCCTCAGTTTCCTAGCCATAGGGATTTCTGGGTAGCGCTGGCCTCAGGCGGTGGTAGTTTACTCTTATTTGTTAACGGTATTTCAGCAATATCGGCAGATTGAGGGCTCCCCACAGGTGATAAGGGCCAGGCACCTGGCGCTGTACAAAGCCAGCGAGGTAACAACAGGCATTGGGCTTGGTCTGTGGAAACAACATGGAAAACTTTTTCCTTTTTTACTTTACAAAAAAGGGCTTTCATTCTTTGTAGCATAGGCACCGTTAGTTAAAGTTAACGAATTGTTCTTTAAGGGATTTCACATGTTCTGAGTCCTTCCACTGCCTTAGTTCCTCCTGAGTTTGAGTCTTAATCATCAGGGTCAGGCTCACCAGGAGCAACTTGGTTTGCCTGAAGAAGGAAGGGCCGGGAAGGGTACTGTTTGAAAGCACAGATGCGGCCCTAGCTCGTTTGGCTCAATGGATAGAGTGTGGACCTGCGGACTCAATGGACCCAGGTTCGATTCTGGTCAAAGGCATGTACCTTGATTGCAGGCACATCCCCAGTGGGGATACCTGGAGGCAGCTGATCGATATTTCTCTCTATTCCCCTCTATTCCTCTCTGTAAAAAATCAATAAAATATGTATTTAAAAAATAAAAGTACAGGTGCCAAAGAAGAACTGGTAGAGGTGGAATCCAAAGGGAGAAAAGGGAATTACTATTATTATTACTATTATTATTACTATTATTATATGGAGAAGAGGAAGGGAAAGGGAGAGAGAGAAACATGGATTGGTTGCCTCTGGTACCCAGTCTGGTTGTGTGCCCTGACCAGGACTCGAACCCGCCACCCTTTGGTGCATGGCACAGTGCTCCAACCAACTGAGCCACACCAGCCAGGGCGAAAAGGGATCATTATTCCCTATGAAACCATTTTATGATGTACACATTCACACCGCCTCCGTTAAGAAACGGAAATGAAGAACTTGTTCATAATAATGACTGGATGGCAGACAAACAGCCTAGCACGCAGGGACCACTCGGGCCCACTGAGGAAAGCAAGCCCCAGCGCTGACTGTTCACAGGACAGTGCTCGCCTCGCTCCCAGGCGTCCTACAGCTGTTTCCTGGGGCTTCGTAAAGAGTCCTCAGCCTGGGGATGTGACCCGGACCACCTGCTTGTCTCCCTGCCTGACACTCAGGGCAGCGAGTTTCTTTCTTTCCCTTCCTTCCTTCCTTCTTTCCTTCCTCCCTCCCTTCCTTCTTTTCTTCCTTCTTGTTTGAATCATTACACATAGTAGTACATATATCTCCTTTCCCCCCCCTTTGCCCTCCCCCAGCTTCCCCTGCCCACCCTCCTCCCCCTCACGCCTTCACCTGCCCTCCTCCCCTGTCTTGTATCCCTAGGTTGTGTTACATGCATGCATACAAGTCCTTCGGTTGATCTCTCATAACTGCCCCCCAACCTCCCTTGCCTTCCTGCTATAGTTTGACAGTCTGTTCCATGGTTCTTTATAACTATTTTTCCCATTTCTTTTCTTTGAAAAATCTTGCAACTGCAGACTGGAAATAAACATATAACAACAACAACAACAAAAGTTTGAGTCCCAGTTTCAATGTCTAACAGTTCTGAGGCCCAGTTTCAATGTCAAATAGTTCCTTATGTGTAGGCAGCGATTGTCAAGCTTTTTTCATTTACTGGCGCTCACAAACTACTAAAATTTTGTGGCACACCCAAAAAATATATATTTTGCCGATCTGACAAAAAATAATAGGTATAACTCTAATGCATTCACACCAGACAGCTATTACAATATTGGATATATATATTTATTTATTTATTTATATTTTAGAGAGAGGAAGGGAGAGGGAAAGAGAGATGTCAATTAGCTGCCTCCTGCACCTAATCCCCCTGCCACACACACACACACACACACACACACACACCACACACACACACACATACACACACCACACACACATACATACATACATACACCACACACATATACATACACCACACACATACATACATACACACACACCACACTTGCATACACATACCACACACTTGCATACACACACCACACACATACATACATACACCACACGCACACACACCATACATACACACACCACACATACATACATACACACATACCACACATACATACACACACACCACACATACATACACACACCGCACACGCATACATACACACACCACACACATACATACACACACACCACACACACACACACATACATACACACACACACCACACACACACATACCAGGGATGAAACCTGCAACCTGGGCAAGTGCCCAGACCAGGAATCCAACTGGCAACCCTTTGGTGTACTGGGTGACACCCAACTAACAGCCACAGCAGCCAGGGCTGGTGCTTTTGACCATCTAAGAGAAAAGAGATCACCCTCTGACTGAACAGGTAATTGCATCTTTTGTTTTGCTTTTTATTTGATGTGATTGAGTTTTAGAGAGAAGAAGGGAAAGGGAGAGAAACATCGATTGGTTGCTTCCGGCACGCCCCATACCAGGGATCAGGCCCGAAACACAGGCCTATGCCCTGGCCTGGACTTGAACTGGTGACCTCTCGGTGCATGGGAAGACGCTCAGCCAATGGAGCCACACCAGCCAGGGCAGGCACTGCACGTTTTCGAAGCTCTGGCGGCACACCAGCAGGCCGTGGCATACCCGCTGATACTGCTGCTCTCGTGAAATAGGAAACGTCATGGAGAAGGACCCTCTTTGTCTCTCCTTCCTTTGATTTCCCTTAGAAACCTCACCCTTTGGAGAAGGTACAGAATTAATGCTTACCACCCTGGCTGGTGTGGCTCAGTGGATAGAGCGTCGGCCTGCGGAGTGCAGGGTCCTGGCTTTGATTCCTGTCAAGGGCACACGCCCTAGTTTCTGGTTCCAGGAGTCAGCCGATCGATGGCTCTCTCTCACCATTGATGTTCTTATCTCTCTCCCTTTCCCTCCCTCTCTGAAATTAAAATATACATATATACCGTATATGTTTTGTTTTTGTTTTTTTAAAGAGGAAACTGGGCTATTTCAGGTGAAGAGTACTGCTGGCGATTTTTTTTTTTATTGATTCTTTTTACAGAGAGGAAGGGAGAGGGATAGAGAGTTAGACACATCGATGAGAGAGAAACATCCACCAGCTGCCTCCTGCACACCCCCCATTGGGGATGTGCCTGCAACCAAGGAACATGCCCTTGACCGGAATCGAACCTCAGACCTTTCAGTCCTCAGGCTGACGCTCTATCCACTGAGCCAAACCGGTTAGGGCAAAATGTACATATATATTTAAAAGTATTTTTAAAAAAGAATACTTACCGTCCAGTCCCTAAACTCAAAAAAAAAGAAGAAAGGACTATAACGGAGTAATTGACTCACACTCAGTGGCACAATGCATGGATAACGAGGCTGATCTCTCGGGCCGCCAGGCCTGGTGTCCGCAGTGTACGGTTTATTTCTCGGGGATGCTGCGCGCTCCCGGCCCCCGGGCACCTCTGGAATTCCTGGTTCAGGCAAGAGCATGAGCCACAGGAGCCAGGCCCTCGGAGTTTATGATTTTTTTTTTTTTTTTTTGCTTTAAAAAATAAATTACACCTCCTGCTTGAATGCTAATTCTCCGATGATTATTGTTACTTAGGAAAGAGGAAGAAAAAAGCCAACATTAGCACAGGTTGTGACAAGTTTAAGAATACTAAGAATACCACAGTTTCCCAGTAAGTAACTTGAGAAGGTAGTTATTTCAA